AATATGACCTACTCTCGGCATTCTTGATGGTCCTTTGGGTATCGTAAGCTAGCTTCGGGTTGGTTTGCACGTGGATGCAGCCGGTAATGTGAGGGGCGATTCTGAGGGAGAGGCCGATCATCTGCAGCCATGTTGGCGTCTTGTTAGGGGCTACAGTGGGAGATACGTACCATCAACTCGACTGCCAGTTCCTCAAATGTTGCGTCTGACTGCTGTCAGAACAGCCAGTGAGCGATGTTCAGCGACTCGGTGATAAACTTGTCGTGAAGCGGTTTTCCATCGTCGTCGACCCTTGTCAACTCGACAAATGCGATGGCCTATGGCGTCCACAGCCATTCGGTTTATAAGTCGTGTCCCTACCACTTTGAAGACAGTAACACTGACCTGATTTGACGTGCAGTTCACAAATGGGCCAAGCTTCGCGGCCACCAAAGAAGTCAGCTGTTGTGTGTCACACGAGCTGAACCCCTCTTGGCAACTTGCCCTCGGCATCAAGCATATCACAGTCCACGGTACTCAAAGTCCGCAGATGGTCAAGGAGGCTAGTGGCCATTTTGCAATTGGTTTTGTAGTTGCGCGCGTTTTAAGCTGCTGAATTCGGTAGGGAGTGAAAGGAGAGGGTGCTGGAGTTACTGGGGATATTGTGATTTTATAATTTTATTCTAGGCGCACTAAGAAGTTACTTCCTTCTTCAACTCTGATGAACAGAACATCACTCCTTAGTACCCCACACACATCAAGCACAACATCAGACGAGGCGAGTGATGACATGAATTATGTGAGTGCAGCGGGATTCGCCGGTTCTATTCGGGAATATCCCACTCTTGCACCCATGGCTATAGGGTGAGTTAAATGGGCGAGGCACCGCTTTGGCTCTCTTGCTCACGGAAACCCCGCCGAGGACAAGCCTGGTGGCAACATTGTTTGCTCTAGTTACTCTCAAACCATCATCGAACACAATGTATCAAGGGCACAGCCCGGCTTGTGACCAAAGATATCATAACAATGGGTTCGAGTGCGTATAAAGATGAATTTCAGATATCGGCTGTCCAAGATTGGGCTCCTTCTTATGTAGATTGTAATTGTAATGAGGGGAGGTCAACAGATTGATACTTTTCAAGCAAGCCCCAATTCTCCTCTACCGTTGGGATATCTAGGTATGAAAGAAACAAGGTCCTAATGCTCTGCTTTTACTTTAGTTCTACAACCCCGGAGAGCACTGGGCCACCCGGTGACCGCAAGTAGGCAGTTGAGTTAGAGCTGAGCAGAATCATATAATCATATTTAAGCTACACCCGTTTCTAATCTAGACTTGTGGTGAGGCTGGCTGTGAGGTTCCACTTCTCGGAGTCAGTTTTCTTGGTTTGCTTTTTGCACAAGAACCTGTGCTGGAAACACAACGACTTCATCATCGTCGTCTCCCTTGCGCACAACTAGAGGAAACAAAACGACCCTCACCACAGCCTCTTCACGTTCAAGATCCGCTGCTTCTTGCTCGCCGCCCGGTTGAGCCATCAATGCCGCATTGAATCTCACCGTTGCAGCCAAGTCCCCATTGGCATCATACTGGGGCAGCAGCGGAGGGAGCATCATGTAATCTGCTAGTTGCGTGCGCATAAGAATCGACAAATCTACTGCATCATTGATGACTTCTGCGAAGCTGCACCCCGGACCTGGTCCAGTAAGTTTGACGGAGGTGGTAGAATTTGCGACAAGGTGTCCAGAATTGACTCCGCAACAGCCAGGGCATCCTGATCCCGTTGCGTTTGGAACGGTGGTCTTTTGGAAAGCAAACCCAACGTAGTGGCTCGCCAGGCGTGAATGGTCGCCGGTGGTCCGATGTCCGACAGCTGCTTCTCCAGGGTTTTCAGTCTCAGGCGCTGCTCCCGATCCATCCCGAAGAGGTAGCGCGTAAAGATGTATTCCCATATCATGGTCATAACCATTGAGGCAAAGATGTCACGTCGCTTGACTCGGTCGTTGAGGTACGTGTCAACATCCGAGCCGTCGAGAACGGAGTTGTCTAGCCTATCGAGGATTCTCTCATCCTTGATCTCTGAAGAGAGACGACTGGCGCGCATGTCGGAAAATTTTGAAAAGCGTAAAACCCACTGATTGACACCCTTGAAGAGTTGTTGGCACCGCATGTCAAAGTAATCAACATCGTATACCCTAGTTTGACCATGCTGTGATTTGAGGACATCCAAGCTTGTTGGTACGCCATGAGTCGCATGAAGCAAATCGGGATCCTCTCTGTTCGGTGTGGCCGCCGAGGTGTCGGAGCTGGGCTTGCGCTGCTGAAGATCCTCAGATTTCAAGTTCGGAGACGGTAGTGGTGAGATCGGCCGAGGCGATTGGGTTTTCGAGTCAAAACTCATGTTCTCGAGGTTCATGATCGACCCCGGCCTCTGGGCGCTTTTCTTCGTAACAACTTCTTTCGCCATGGCCATAACACGGCGGTAGGCTTTGGAGTCGACGACAGCATTGTCGAACTGGAACTCCGTACCTTCGGCCACGGTATCCCCACCCCGGAAAATACTGTCGGCAGTGTTCTTAGAGCCCAGGACGGACTCGGCAATCTGGAGTTGAGGATTCGCATATCGCAAAGACTCAGCCTTGGTTGCTTGCTTGTCGAGAAGGCCCTTTCCGTTTCCGATACCCTCCAGAATTTCGTCAATGGAGTTCATGTGGAGGATCTGGACCAGGAAGGCCACGGCGGATTGCTGCCCCTGAAGAAGCGATAGGTAGTTCTTCATCTCGTCCTCATTCCACACGATGTGTGTCCTACTCCACCATTTCCTCGCGAGCGAGCGACGAGATTCCATCAGAGCTGCCTCATCGCATAGCTTGTCGAGGGAATCCTCAAAGCACGTCAGCACCACCAAGCATCCGATGAGCGTCGTATCGAGAGTTTCGATGACATCAGGCCGGTCGCGAATCGTGTGGTTCTGAAGTACGAGTGTTTGTAGCTGCGATAATCCTGCCTTGATCGCGCGGCACTGCGACGAAAGCGCTGTGATAGTGACGTGGGAATTTTGGAACTTGGTACGAAGGGTGTCGAGGAAATGGCCTGCCTGAACGCAGACTCCTGCGATGCCCGCAATGGACGCCGTCACGGAGAGGGGATCCATTGCGACAACACAGACCCTTGGTTTCGTATTATGAACCGCGAGAGTAGTCGACAACAAATGCCGTGGTCAGTTGCGCGTGGTAGGCATATTTTTAATGTACCTCCTCATTTGAGGCTGTGCTGCAGGTAAGGCTCATCGCAGCATATAACTGGCTGGTCGATGCATGCTCTCATTGAAGTCCGGCTCTTTTCATGGGGTTGTTGGGTGCGGGATACTGGTCGTCTCCATGTCCCAATTTCCCCGAGCCGCATGCCACCTCCAGCACAGGATAGGTACCGAGGTACGAATATTTACCTATCGAACAACTCACGCGGGGGACAAGCCAGTAACTTTTAATGAGGTTCTAAGACGCTGCGGGCCTGATTGTTGGCTGGCGGACCTGTACCAAATGACTGAAATGGGCGGCAGGCAACGAAGTCACAAGCCTGGCGTCGAAACTCGAACTTCCTCAACTGCAAAGTCTGTGTCACGATAAGATGCTCATGACGCCGTCTGGCTTGAAAATGCCAGACGCCAAAAGCTACTGGAGAAATGAAGCAATGACTCAAAGAGCCGGGAGAACTAGATCGTGTATCAAAAAAAAAAACCCCGCGAAAAGGAATCGATTAAACACCGGAACAGATGCGATGCGATCTTGCCATCGAATCTTGAGTGACAGCCCCGCTCTGAGGACGTATGGTTGCCTCCAGCGAGCCCCGCCAGCCACACTTCCCCCGCGGGCCAGCCACAGTGGAGGAGCTGCCACAGCTAAAATAATTCAGTACCAAGGCGCGCCCGAGCTTCCCGTCCTCGGCGAAGAGACGCACACCGGAACGCCAATTGCCGAACGAGATGGCGATGCCGCCCGCCCGGCAACTGAATTCCCTACAATGCGGCCGCCGATCCAACATGTCAGACTTTGGCAAGCCGGGTTCGATAATGTATGTTGGCAATGCAGCCATCGAGTGCTACGGCAGGCCGACCGACCGTTAAAGGGAGCGCGGTTATTCTCAAAATCCGCTCTACCCCGGGCCCCTGCCGCTGCAGCCCCCGCCGCCCTGTCGCGACACCGATTCAAAGCCGGCTACTTTCTCTCCAACACCCTCCTCGCTCGCTCCAATGGCACATCTGTCGCTTCTCCGGCCACCGACAGGCCAGTCCCCGCCGCCGATTCACAACCACCAGTCGTGACCACGGCCACAGCCTCAACCACAACCGATATCCCGACATCAGATGCGCCCCTCCTTCCGCATCGCCGACGACAAGCCGCAAGACGAAATGAACTCCAACAACAAACCAACCCTCCTACAAACTCCATGGCCACCTCCCTCCCCCCCGACGCCTCCTCCCGCCTAGCCGACACAGCCGCCCGCGCGCCCGCCGACTCAATCCGCCGCACGCTCTCCGCCCTCCTCTCGCTCTCCAAACCCCGCCTCACCGTCCTAGTCGTCCTCTCCGCCATGGTCCCCTACGCGCTCTACCCCGTCCCCGCCTTCCTAGCCTCCTCCTCCGCCACAGCCGCAGTCGACGCCATCCCGTCGCTCTCCCCCCTCACCCTCCTCTTCCTGACCACAGGCACGACCCTCTGCTCGGCGGCCGCCAACGCGCTCAACATGCTCTACGAGCCCGACACCGACGCCAAGATGACACGCACCCGCACCCGGCCCCTCGTCCGCCGCCTGCTGACCACCCGCGCCGCCGTGCTCTTCGCCGTCGGGTGCGGCGCCGCGGGCGTCGCCGCCCTCTACCTGGGCGTCAACCCCACGGTGGCCTTCCTGGGCGCGGTCAATATTGCGTTGTATGCTGGCGCGTACACGCCGCTCAAGCGTATCTCAGCGGTGAATACGTGGGTGGGTGCGGTGGTGGGGGGGATTCCCCCGCTCATGGGCTGGGCGGCCGCGGCGGGGGAGAGTGCCACGGCGGACGGGACCTGGCGGGAGTTGTTGTTTGCGGGGGATGGGTCGAGCTTGGGCGGGTGGTTGTTTGCGGGGCTGTTGTTCGCGTGGCAGTTCCCCCACTTCATGCCGCTGTCGTGGGGCATTCGGGAAGAGTACAAGGCGGCGGGCCTGCGCATGCTGTGCTGGGTCAACCCGGCGCGGAATGCCCGCGTCGCGCTGCGCTACAGCCTGGTGTTTGTTCCGCTGTGCCTGGGGCTATGTGCTGCCGGGGTTACCGAGTGGAGCTTCGCGGTGACGAGCCTGCCGGTGAACTTGTGGCTGGTCCGGGAGGCAGTCAAGTTCTGGCGCTATGAGGGCCACAAGGGGAGTGCGCGCAGCCTGTTCTGGGCCAGTGTCTGGCATCTGCCTGTCATCATGGTGCTGGCGCTCGCGCAGAAGAAGGGCATGTGGGCCCGTGTGTGGAGTAGTGTGACCGGGGCGCCGGAGGAGGAGGAGGAGGAGGAGGAGGATGACGATGATGATGAGTTTGACGACGACGACGGCGATGCCGAGTGGGTTCGGAAGGTTGGGACCGGGACCGGGTCCAGGTCCAGTCGTGTCGGGATTGTGGGTCCTGCCGCTGGCAATGCTCGGAGGTAACCCGGGGTTTTGGGTCTGTAACAACGAATGTATGTGTATACCTGTTGGCCGGTTTCCCGTTTTGGGTATGCCTATCCCGGGGTATGGGTGAGTCCTTTTCCGGTATGCAAGTCGGATTGCGTTGCCTAGCTGCAAGTCATTACTGTACGCTGCCGTCAGCACTGTATATGACTCGGTTCCAATTCCACTCAATGCCATGCCCTTTTGGAAAGTTGGTGTCTCGTCCAGAAAAACTGCCAACCCTGGTCACCAGCGGAGTCTCCTGGCACCAACAATGCCACCACCACACACATTCGGGTTACACAAGATCGCGATCCAACGTTGCAGCGGATTGATCCCTCAGATCCCGCGCCTTGGCATTGCAACTGCTGCCCCTGTCTTCCTCGATCAACTGGTGTATACTAAGGATTCGAGAACGATCGGGTTTCCGCGCAGTCCCATCTTCTCGCGATCGAGGAGCCTGGAGAGATGGGAGACATGATCGAATGCCGGAGCATGAGCCCCGTTACGGAGCGTATCTGTGCCTCGCCCATAGCCTTCGGTAAAAGTCCCCAACCACTTCCTTCACCCCCCATCTCCACGACACACACACGTGGAGCCGGTGAGACCAACATCTTTGGCCCCCAAAAGAACCGCCCCCAAGACAGCAACTCATACCGCCAAACCACGAGTTCCATCCCTAATTCATACCCGTGCCGCTGCACAAAGCCCGGGCAACGCCAACAGCTCAAACAACACACAAATTTCCCCCGCGCCGCCCGCCGCCGTGGAACCTTGTCCCCGAGACCTGCAAACCTCCTACCAACAAGCGAGTGAGCTGTGCCTGCGCCTCACATTCCAGCTTTACACCCCTCACACCCCCACCCAATCTTTCAACACAATGCCAATGCTGACTATGAGAAACACCAAGGCGGTCAGACAAATAATTACCAAGACAGTTATACGAAGATGAGTGTAATAACCAATACATTAGTTCTACCCCTTTTTGACCCCCCTATTCTCTATGGATATTCATGCACCTGTGTACACATGAGAGTAGTAGATACCAGATGCAAAGCCACCAAAAAACAACACAAGCCAAGGTAGAAAAGCAACAAAAAGCCACAGACAGAGGAGACGAAAACGGTAATCATAAGAATCATGGCCTAATATTCTGCGGCACAAACACGGCCGGTGCTGTTTCGACCCGGCCCTCTCTCACACCCCCCCACCCCCCACCCCACCTGCCACCATCGTCACCATCCAATCCAACGTAAACACCAAACCAAGGCCCATGCCGCGACACCAAGAGTGAGTCAGTGACAGAAGTGAGTGAGAGAAAACGAGAGCTAGAGAGAGACCCAAGGAAACCCATCACCCCAACGGATGATGATGATGATGCTGATGATGCTCCCATCACACCACCACCTACCCACCCACCCATCCAACGCAACGCCGTGCAGTGCCGCGCGCTCGCCCATGACCCGTCCACAACGCCAGTTTTGCCTGCCCCACTTGTTGTCGATGGACCGACTAGCACACTGCCCTTGTCCGGCCCCCTGACTGACCCAATGATTCTCGTAAAACGTGACATGAGAGAGAAAAAAAAATCCAGATGATGATGATGCGCCATTGAACCCCCCAAAGCCCATATTCCCAAACCCCCAAGAGCCCAAGACAAAAGAAACGGTTTGGTTGTTGTGTTGTGTGTGTGACGTGATTAAAGAGTGTAGCCGGATGAGAGGAGGGAAAAAATCCATGATGCCATGCCATGCCAGACCGCCATGCCATGCAACCCGACAGAGAGAGATCGAGAGATCAAGAGAGTAAACAAAGGAAAAAAAAGAGGGCAAGAAAAATAAAAAGGGGGGAATAGAGAGAAAAGAGAAAAGATTATTAGCTGCCCTGCCCCCGATTAATAATCGCATCGATCCCCATATCCCCCACGCTGGGCAGCCTCCCGCCATGCCCCATATACGGGCTCGTTCCCTGGCTACCGGACCCCGACGCCTGCTGGGGTGCGCCGCCATACCCGCCCGCGGTGCCCGTGCTCGACACGCTGTTGCTATACCCATGGCCGTGGTGCGCCTGTTGTTGGTGGTGCTGCTGGTGGTGGCCGTACCCGCCGTACCCCTGGTATCCCGCCGCGGCAGCCGCGGCCTGGGGGTGGTGCTGCTGGTGCGGGTGCATGGTGGCGAAGGCCCCGGAACCGCCCGACCCGGAACTGCCGCCGGGGGTGGAGTGGGCGCCTGTGGTGGAGCCGCCCGTTTCCGGGGAGCTGTAGGACTGGTCGGCGACGTCGACATCGTCGACGGGGGTGAGGCAGCCGAGACCGCCATCGTCGTCGTAGGCCGTTAGGGGCTGGCCGGATTCGAGGCGTTCGCGGCGAGCGTAGGCGCGGGCGTGGGATTGGATGTTTTTGAGGCCGTTGGACATGCACTGTGGGAGGGGTTGCGTGAGTATTATGCGATGGGTGTGTGGGGGTGGAGGGAGGGAGGGTGGTAGCGTACCTGCATCTCAACGACGTTCCACTTCTCGCCGCACCGCGAGGCAAGCGGTTGCCAGATCTCCTTGCGCATGCTCATGTATTCCTTGCACAGACGCTCCAGCTTCCGGTTGTCAAAGTCGTTTTGGCCGCGGCGCTCCATCAACCGCTCGTGCCTCTTCCGGCACGCGTTGCCCGTCTTGCCTTGGAAGGCCTCCCTCTGGATCTGGTTCCAGTTCTTGCCCATCGCCCGCAGCGCCAACAATGTTCGGTCGTCTTCCTGGTTCCACGCCCCGGACGATGCCCGGTGTTGTGTCGGCAAGGGTCCACCCACGGGCCCACCCATCGCGGGACCGGCTTGTGGCATCTGGAGAGGAGGAACTGCGCTGACCGCATACGGGTCGTAGCCCGGCATGGGCATGCCGCCGGCGCCGGCTGTGGAGAGATCGCCATAGAATCCGGACAGCTGCCGGGGGTTCTGGTAGTAAGACATTGTGGGTACGGTCGAAGCGAGGGATACTGGAATGTGTTGTTGGTATTGTTGATGGCTCGGCGTGCGTGTCAGGTCGGGCATGATACGAAGGTAGCCTCTTCAGCCGGTGCCCCTCTGTGTCGAGGGTGTCAAGCTGAGAGGGAGCAGGGGCGGACGGCGGTTCGTAGTTGGGGAGGTGCGGTTCTCGGGTGGGGATTTCCAAACGATTAGGTTCTACTCCGAAGCTATCTCGACGACTCGGCGTCAAGCAAGGCCCCGCTTGAAAGCTTGGGAGCAGGATGGAGATGCAATGTTTCGTGTCAAACGAAAGGGCTGGCCAGCAACCAGCAAAGCAAGGGTGAGAAAACGAAGGCGATACGAGAGTAAGGAAAACCTAGGAAAGAGAATCAAGAAAGAGGAAAAAGTAGGTCGCGAGGCGGCGGGTCGAAGAGTTCGAGGACTGAAGAATGGCTAAGGCCGGCCGGAGAGGAGAGGAGGGGCGGTCGACTTATAATATCCCCAGGCTACGGAGGAGACCCGGGCAGAAACAACAAGATGAGGTGAGTGGAGGGCCGTTTCTGCGGGTCCCCGATCTGCGTTGAGGGTCCGGTGAAGAGAGATGGACAGGACCGGGGTAGGAGATCTGAAACAAGGATAGAGCTGGAGAGAGAGCCTGCTTGATGAAACTAAGCATGTGTATCTGAACGACCGCGGGGGGCGACCAGCGGCCTCTGTTAGTGGCTGGCGAGTTTCGGGATGGCGTTTGTTTGAAGATGGGCGGCTACAAAGTTGGCCCTTTCTGGGTGGAAGTTGCCGGAGGGCGGTTAAGAGTTGATGGGCCATGGGGGGGTCTGGCGCCGGACAAGGGGGGGTATCAGTAGCGATGGGGCGGTTCTTCTTCCCAGGGTTCTGTTGCCGGCAAAAAAGAAGAGATCGAGGTCTGGCGGCAACAGACAGAGAGCAGTGCCGCTGGGCGAGTGACAGGAACAAGGGCACGCGAGCGAGACGAGCAGACATTCACGCTGGTAACCGTCATGCCAATACCGAGAATCCCAACGGGGTTCCAGTCTTTCGCTTAGGGAATGGTGCGGTACCGTGCCGCTACCTCGCCATGGCGCTGCGGTATGCAGGCGAAGCAGGTACCCAGAAGCAGGTACCGCGGATCTCAAATGCATGGCCCAATGCGGGAAGCCATGTTGTGGAGTACAGGAGCGGGAAGTGTCAAAAAATAGCACAGGGTACGCTCAGACAGCGGCTCGGAATGAATGTTAGCCGCCAGCCAGCCAGCCTTACGCGCAGAACCCCAATTTCGAGCCTCGTCTCCACGCAGCTTCATTTGCCGTTACTCAATGCTCGCGACGCAGTGGATACCGAGTCCGAGAATGAGTGAGGCTGCCTGTTAACTCTTCGATTGAGTTTTGGGAGTTAGATAAAACTCCACCGAAGGGAAGATCGGCAACGCAATGGCGGACCGGAAACAGCATAAAAGAAACATTAGGAACGAAGAAACACGAAGGCCAGGCGGCGGCCTTGGGCGGCCGGCGATCGAGATCTGACCCAATCTGCGACTGGCCGCCTTGCAGATGAGGCCAGCTACCGCCCTCAACGAGACCCCTGAGAACCCGACAGAACGGAAACCTCTCAGGGTGAGGGTATCGGCAAACACTTTGTTGACCTCAAACAGCCGAGATAGACACGAGCACTGGCGCGCGACAACCACGGAGGTGAGCGTCTCGCGAGACTTGGGCGGCTGGAAATTGCAAAGGGTTGCGACGTTGCAGCTCTCGGTATCAACGTCGCAATGGTAGAAAATAAACAGGCGCCGGGGCAGCCAAGTTCGGACCCGGCACGGGGGGAGAAAGCTTGGGTTGTCGTGAGGATGTGCCCTGGAGCCGCGGGAATGCTTTGGACGGAGGAGCAATCAGTCGCTGGCGGCAATGCGGAAGAGCACCGCGCTCAACGAACCGTTCAGAGCCACTCAGCTCTGCTTGCCAGATCCACCCAAGCGAAAAGGCAGCGCGAAAAACGGCCATCGGAAGATGAGATGAAACATGGCTTGTTGGTTCTCGCGACCTGAGGAAGCCGTCGGATTGGCTGTTCGGAGCAAGGGGAGAAAAAGAGCGTGAGATGTTGCAGTTGAAAAGCAGAGGCGCGCGTCAATTCTGTCGCTCGGGAAGCACCCGCTGTGGTGGGGGCCAGTTTCCGATTGGCCTTTCTCTATTGGCCGATCTGGGGGGTTCCTGCACGGTTGCAATGCGTTTCAACCCCCGCGATACACGAAGAGATTCACTAACAATGTTGTGTGGCAAAGCGCTGGAACATTGTTAGTACTTCGTAGCTCTTGCAATTTCCCGTTTATGATTGTTTGTGACGGCAGCGCTTGCCCATTTCTGGCCATCCCACTAACCAGACTTGATCGAGCGGCTCCAGATCTGGCAAGCCCCCACCTTCCAAGACAGCGACCTGCCATCGAAAAATGTGCCGCAAGCCCCGATTCGATCTTGCTTCCGTGGTTTTCCCGGCATTTCCAACGATGGAATGCGATGAGATGCTGCTCTCTGTACCGGGCATTGCGTCCCATCTCCAACCCCAATCGCTAGCAACATCTTGGGATGTCGACGGTGTTCCTCCCGGCTGAGAATGAGCAGGGTAGCTTGCGGTCCTCCGCAACAATCCAAGCATCGCATCCAGCGGCACAGACACACCAAAGAGACAAGCAGGACGAGTCAATGACTCGCACCCCCCCTTTTCCCTCGGTTTGGCAGTCAATAATTCCGTCATTTCATCTCGAACCTCGACTTTATCCACGCCTCACTCAGCCGCAACTTCACATCCGCAGCACATCGGGTACATCGGACGGCATGACAAAACAACTGCAGCCCCCATATTCAGTGGCCGTTTTGTTTCGAAACATTTCAGGCCTTGGTTTGGCCATCTCAGGCCATGGTTACATGGTAGGGCTAGCCTGTCGTGTGATCTGCCGAGTGCGTGGTGATCGCCGGCCAGCGTCGCTTTCGGAGGTCACGCTCCCAGGCCGGGCTGCTGAGGCCGTGGCCGGGGCTGGGGGCCGGGTCCGGACAGACAGGGCCAAGCGAGCCCCGACCGAGCCTGGTGATTGTGAACCCCGAACACACACAACCCGTCATGACATTGCGTCATAGTCGATCCCCTTTTTTGCGAGCGATGGGCCCCTGTCAGCTCTGCCTCGCTTGCCCGTCATCATCAGACATGTCTGCGCCACATCTGATCTGATAAGGGCGATAATATTAACGCTAAAGGCCCTGTTGGTTCGAGCCCTGCTTCAGCTCCATCCTCTTACGCTCTCGGCCCGGCAGTGCGCGATTTACTCGGTTCGGTTTTGTGTTAACTCGCAGTACGGCCCGGTGCTACGTGATCGAACCAACACACTCCCGCTTCCAATTCCGGCTTCCCGTCAAATGGGCAAAAGCTCCGGGCTGTGTGGCTTGGTTTCGAAACATTCTGGGTCATTCTACTCTTGAATTGCCGTGTCCTAAGATACGGGTGGCGTCCCTCTAGTTTTAGATGTCCCCCAGCACAGACAGACTCTGTGTGGTCGAGTGACCTGCGGCGAACACGGCCGCACTCTCCGGTCTGTGACCGACACACAGACTTCGCCGTGTCCTGATCTCCGGGCATCACCGCCGGGTTCTGCTCAAGACGAGCAGACAACGGCCAAAATAAACCTTCGTCTTGGTTGCACCCTCTCAAATATAAACGGCGGGGTAGTTCCGCTTGCGGCCGTTGCTCTCTCCCTGTCGACACCAAGCTTTGGCTCCCCGGCAGCTTCCGACCAACGATATGGGTCTTCACTAGGGCTGCATCATGGCCATGTTGGCCCTCAACGGTGGCCGGTCTCAGATCTTGCAGCTCGCCTATCTCGTTCGGCACGTCGGGACATAACACCGTTGGGACACATCTTGGAGGCGGAGTTATGACTGGATTGGGATTCGGAATTCGGCGAATGATGGTAGCTCTCACGATGAACTTCACACCTTTGCCGGACAGCTAGGTTGGTGTAACGATACAACACTTCCGCGCCTCCATGAGCCAAGTCCCGGGGAACTGGTCCCGCCTGTTGGACTCACTGATGTTGGTCGCCGCCGTAAAATCACGGATGCAGACGAGCCACTCTTGGGATTAGTCCGCTTGTGGGCGGATTTCGTGCCACCCCACACTGATCGCGCCAGATCTTCGAGGTGGCCGAGAGGCACACCGTGCAAGTGCTGGGGATGCTTCTGCTGCTGAGCCCCCACGGGCAAGATGCTTCCTCCACGGGCAGTATTGGGGGCCGAGATGGGATCTGGTCTCAGCTGAGCTTTATGTTTCGGGTTTTAATTAGCATGCGCGACCAACGCCAACAGCCTGTGCAGAGATGGCCAGTTAAGGATTCCTGCACAAGTTCACGGGTTCTAACATGGGCGAAATGACGAACAATGAGGCCGTGGAATCCATGTCGTCTAATAAGGAGGTTTACTATGTACAGAGAGCGGCGGGTTGAATCTCCGTGTCACTCCTCCCTCGGGACCGGGGATTGAGACGCTTCGCCGCCGAGCCCCCCAAGGCCAATCCCAACAAGGAAAGACACAGGAAGGAATCAAGCAACGAAGCCAACCAACAACAAGCTCAACAACCAAACCAGGCCAAACAGTCGTCCGCACAAGCCACGAAGCCACAAGCCAACGCCACCAACGGCTTCGCTCCCGGCAAGAAAGCTTGACCTCACGCTAGCGCACAACCGCCCCTCCTCCGCCCATGGAAAATACCAAAAGGCCCGATGTCAGCGACGCCAGGCCAACCGGCGAACCTCCGCCTCGCCCGCGGACAGGACGCGCGCCAATGAGCTTGCGCCGGGCCGAGTGCGAGGCCATATTCAGGCTAAATCGGCCACCGGCTAGGCTGGGGTGTTTGCTCGCGGGGGGGAGGAAGATGGCATGGATGCAACTGGGGAAACAAACCCCCAATCATCCGCTTGCCCTCTTCGGAGCTTAACTTGTGCGGGACGGCCGCTCGGCACCTGCGCATGCAGCGGGAGTTTTTTAGTTGGCGGTTTTTCGCCGGTGGCCTGGCTTGGCCATCGCTCGGCTGCTTGGCGGTGTGCTGGTGCCGTGCTGGGGTTGATATAATGCCATGGACTGAAGGTCAATGGAAGCTGAGGCGAGGGATGGACAAAAGGGAAACTAGACGAAAGGAACAACCATGGAAAGTTCTTTTTTTTTTCGTTCTCGGCGAATGGATGACGGGAATAGCACCGAGATATCAGGATGACCCGGCAAAATACACCGTTCAACTGTCGTTCCGCCGGCACAGGCTCCGGGGGCCGGGGGGTTGGTTCTTCGGCGATCAGCGGCCCAGTCCAGCCTGGCCAATGGCACCTCCTAGTATTCATCCGGGGAAACAGTGGAAACAAGCGAATGCAGGTCGGATCGGTTCGCGACTGGGGACGTCGTGGACAGGAAGATGGGTCTGGGGGATGCGGAGTACCCCTCCGCATTGGAGAATCTCTCTCCAACCTAGCAGCCCATTTCACTATCCGGGATCCCCAAGCTTGTCTGCACCACGCGCATCAAGAAGGGCCGGTAATATGTGGAGGTCCCCCGACCGGTTCTAGGCTCATATGCCTGGTTCCCGGGCAATTGGATGACGGGGACGGGAAGTGGGAACATGGCATGGCACGACTGGATGGGAATGGGAGGGTCTATTGGGTAGTATCGACTCCCACGGCCCTTCTGGGTCGGTGTTGCAACCCTTCCGTTCATCCAGGCGCGTGGTAGGAAGACAGGGGTGGGGGATCCCTCAAGAAGATTGCTTGTTTTCCCCTCCGCGTCTGCATAACTATCTTGCAGCTCCCGGATTCTTTTTCGCGGTTGCTGAGCTCGGTTTCCCTTCCCACCTTCAACCCGACCGACCGCCGTTCTTGGACCGCACACAACACCAACCCGGCATCACCACCCGGGCCGCTAACAGAGCCACGCGCGACACCGCCAGATTCTAACCACGGGAGAACACACCAGCAAACATGGGCGCCGGAGGTGACGCCGGCGGCGGCTTCTACGATGCCGCGCTGCACAAGCGTCAGGCCATGATGGGCAAGAGTGGCCCAGGGGCACTCTGGAAGAACTTCCGTGTCTTTCGCATTGCCGCCTTCGCTTGCATTGGTGGCGTGTTGTACGGTTACAACCAGGGCATGTTCTCGGGTGTCCTGGCCATGCCGGCCTTCGGAAGGCGTACGTTTTCTTCGTTCTTTGATCTGCGTGTGGGAGGGCGTGGGCGTTGCGCGGTGCTAACAAGGGGGCAGACATGGGCGACTACATCGAGAACCAGACCAAGAAGGGGTGGCTGACGGCTATTCTGGAACTCGGCGCCTGGCTCGGAACACTTCTCTCGGGTTTCATTGCTGAGGTGCTGTCGCGAAAGTACGGTGTGCTCGTGGCCTGCTCCGTGTTCATCATCGGTGTCATCGTTCAGGCTACCGCAGTTACTGTCGGACCCAATGCTATTCTAGCTGGGCGATTTGTCACGTAAGTATTCTGTTTGCCGGTATTTGGTTCTCTAATGCGGAGCTAACGGGGGCACAGTGGTATGGGTGTCGGAAGTCTTGCCATGATCATCCCTATCTACAACTCCGAGGTTGCGCCCCCCGAGGTGCGCGGAGCTCTGGTGGCAACGCAACAGCTGGCCATTTGCTTTGGCATCATGGTCAGCTTTTGGATTGACTAGTAAGTCTTCCCATCACTAGGTCCTTTTTTTCCCCAAGCCAGTCGCTGACCTAAGACAGCGGTACCAACCACATCGGCGGCACCGGAGACGGACAAACCGACGCAGCATGGCTTCTTCCGACTTGCTTGCAGCTCGCACCCGCCCTCCTCCTTCTCGTTGGCATGATCTTCATGCCCTTCTCCCCCCGTTGGCTGATCCACCACGGCCGCGAAGAGGAAGCGCGCAAGGTTCTCGCCGACCTCCGCGGCCTGGACGCTGATCACGAGCTCCTCGAGATCGAGTTCCTCGAGATCAAGGCCCAGTCGCTGTTCGAGAAGCGCTCCATCGCCGAGATGTTCCCCGAGCTCCGTGAGCAGACCGCCTGGAACACCTTCAAGCTGCAGTTTGTCTCCATCCGGAAGCTCTTCCAGACCAAGGCCATGTTTAAGCGCGTCATTGTCGCGTCTGTTACTATGTTCTTCCAGCAGGTTTGTTTACCCCCTTCCCCAAGGTCAAACCAGCCGTACCTCGCAAATTCGCAGTAACTAACAAACCGGACTCTAGTGGACGGGTATCAACGCTGTTCTGTACTACGCCCCCTTTATCTTCGAGCAGCTCGGCCTCGACCTCAACACCACCTCGCTCCTCGCCACCGGCGTCGTCGGCATTGTCATGTTCGTCGCCACCATCCCCTCCGTCCTCTGGATCGACCGCGTCGGCCGCAAACCCGTCCTGACCATCGGCGCCATCGGCATGGCCACCTGCCACATCATCATCGCAATCCTCGTCGCCAAAAACATCGACAACTGGGCCCATCAACAGGCGGCCGGCTGGGCGGCCGTGTGCATGGTGTGGCTGTTCGTGATCCACTTCGGATACTCGTGGGGTCCCTGTGCGTGGATCATCGTGGCCGAGATCTGGCCGCTCAGCACGCGCCCCTATGGTGTCGCCCTCGGCGCGTCTAGCAACTGGATGAACAACTTCATCGTCGGCCAGGTCACCCCGGACATGCTCAAGGGCATCCCCTACGGCACCTACATTATCTTTGGCCTGCTGACCTACCTGGGCGCCGCCTTCATCTGGTTCATCGTGCCTGAGACGAAGCGCCTGACGCTCGAGGAGATGGTAAGACCCCTCCCCCCTCCCACCCAACCGAACACCGGCAAAAACGAGTCGAACAAAGCTAATCCATCCCCACAGGACGTCGTCTTCGGCTCCGAGGGCACGGCGGCTGCCGATTTCGAGCGCATGGAGGAGATCAACAACGAGATCGGCCTCAACCAGATCCTGCGCGGCGACGCCGGCGTGACTGTCGTGTCGGGCTCGGACGCCGAGAAGACCAAGCTTGAGCAGGCCTAGAATGTCTGAAGGGAGCCGTGATTGATATACCCCGATATTCTCTGTTGTTTGGTTGGATCGCATTAGGTGGGGGTTGTTTCTTGGGGGTTGGTTTAGGCTAGTTGTTGTTGCTTAGCAATGTAACAAGGCTACATTTTGACGTGAGGATATCACCAATGCAATGATCAAATCTTGGCTTGTTAGGGCTGCGTGCAGTTCTTGCGTTCGAATTGTACAAATGACGAAGGGAGGAATTGTACCAAAATGATCAAGGTCGCAAAGGTTCACCCTCGTACGAAGGATAACGGAAGTATCTCTGCTGTACTCGCCAACGTGATGCCGAATTCGACGGTGGTCCACGGCACGCACGACCTTGGGCCACCCATTACCCGAAACGATCATCAACAGCCCGCCCACCACACGCAGCATGGATGGAGGTCAAGGCAACCGCAACAAACACCACTAAACCATCGCCAGCCCTCCACCCACAGTCAGTCGGCCAGTCAAGTCATGTTCATCATGCTCCCATTAACGCTATCAATACACTCACCCTTCTCCTCAAACAAGGAAACGAAACCAAGCGCAAATATACACACAAACAACAACAACAGCACGCCTATCCAGCCTTGCAGAATCCCAAACACCGCATTCCTAATCCCATGTACCAGACCATGATGTGTAAACAAAGTAAAAAAAAAAAAAGCCCGACCGGCAGTGGCCGGCCAGTCAAGCCAGTCTGCATGTGCCCGATCGATGCCCATGACTCCAACCACACACAGCCCCACCACCCCTTCTTTACGGGAGGGGACTCGACATGGTGTGTGTGGCATGCAAGCAAAACGCCCATCTCTTCTTTTCCCACCCGTCGTCTAGGAGTCAACCCCCCTGCACACACCAACTCTAACGGAACATCCACCCCCATCCCTCTACCTCCACACCATACTAGGACGCGGCTTCAACACACTCCCTCCACTCCCACTCCCACTGCCACCGCCACCCCCAGAATTCGGCAACACGCCCCCAGCACCAATGGTAATCCTCCTAGCCTTACCACCCACACCAGCAGCATCCGTCTCCGGGCCAGCACCAACACCAGCAGCAATACTCCTTAGCGCGGTAGGACTACCCCGCTCCCTCTCCGACCTGAGGCTCCCCCCCATATTCATGCGCCTGGCCTGGCCCGGCGTAAGATTGCGGCCCGGCCCACCAAGAAACGCGCTCCCATCCTGCGCGTGATGGCGCCCGGCGCCCGCGGGCGACGACCCCGCCGATGCCGACGCGGGCGGCGAGCAGGTGATGGGGATCGGCCTCGGGGGCGAACGGCGGGCGCCGCGCTCGGTACTACCTCGGCGGTGGCGGGAGATGCCGTTGGAGGCGCTGGCGCTGGCGTGGGCGGGGCCCGAGTAGCTGGCGGACGCGCGGCGGTGGGCGCCGTGGTGGGAGGGGATGCTGCCGCTGCCGCTGACGTTGCCGCCGGAGTTTGAGCCCACCGACGAGACGCGCTTGGCGCTGGAGACGGTCGTGCTGGGGAGGAGAGAGAGGCGCTCGCGGCGTTTGGCAGAGTGCAGGGCGGACCGGATCTTAAGCGGATCAAGGTCCGACTCGGAGCCTGAGCCGTATGAGATGCGCGGGAGGCGGGATGGGGAGGCGCGTCGTGGAGGTTCGTTTTCGTTGCCGTTCTCGGTCAGAGTGGAGAGCAAGTTGGTGGAAGGCTTGGGACTGCCGTTGTTTGCTGGTACCGGTGAAAGAGAGTTAGTAGCCCGGCTCACGGGCAAGGTACGTAACGGTGACGGGCGGTCTTCATTATCGGAAGAGCCGGTCAGGTTGAGGGAGAAGGTCGGCGGCACGGGCGAGCCATTAGCACTCCCGGTGCTTTGTTGAGGTGGTCGGCCCTTGGAGAGGAAGCCGGCTTGGAATCGGTTCGGCTTGGTGAAGGACAGCGATGATGCTTCAGGGGGGGTTGGGGTCGGGCTAGAGCTCTTTGGCGAGTCGATGTGATTGAGGTATGAAGGTACTGGAGGTCGGGTGGGAAGAGCCTTCTCAGGGGATGGCTCATCGGGCGACGCAAACTTCTGCGGAGTCTTCTCGAAGTCGGCCAAAGTCCCCTGCTCGCTCTCATCGTCGCGCCAACGGACGCTCGCCTTCTTTTTGGCTGGGGTGAATGCTACGCTCTTTCGTGCGCCAAGCTTGCGACGGCGAGGGGACGCCTTGACTGGCGAGGCGATAGCCTGCTGTTGCGCGGCCGAAAAGACAGGACCCGGGATAGGCTTAGAGTTTACATTGATGGACTTCTTCCTCTTGGGGGTGCCCCGCTTGGTCGGCGGGAAGAGCTCGACGGGCATCATGGAGCCATCGGGCTTGACGACGTGAGACGCGGCCGAGTAGCCAGTCTCGAGCAGGCGGCTAATCATGGTTTTGGCATGCGCAACCGCCTCCTCCTCGCTCATACTCAGAGTTTCCGACATGGAAGACAAGATGTCGAACTGGGCAGTCAGAAGTACTTGCAGAACAGCCGCATCACCGGCCTTGTCCTGCTCTAATATCTCCCTGTAGGCATCCCGCATGAACCCTGTCTTGAGCATCTCAACCTCCCTAGCCAGCGTATCCCGCTCCGAACCATCGACAACGCCATCGCCCGTCGGCAGCTGGGAGATGCTATGGTTCAGGGCAGTATCCAAGGCGCGCTCCCAGTTTGTCCGTTCTATCCTTTGGTGGATGTGGTGCCTGCTGCTTTCCAGTTCCATCAAGATGCCATGTGCCGTCTTCCGCATGGCAACTAAGTTGGACGGCATCGCTTGCTCATCTCCCCGGGCATCACACACCGAGTCAAAGGCAGCTATCCAAGCGGAGAGGAGGCTGATGCGTCTCTCCACAGCCTTCAGCTTCTTCATGAAGTTGATCTTCTCGAGGCGCTCCGGAGAAGCATGTTCATACGCAGCACGCAGACGGAGAATGCCCTCCCGAACAACGGCATCCCGTTTGTCCATCTGCTTTCGGAACTTGACAAAGAAGGTCTTCTCGGCATCCTTTTGCTGCGCCTTGAGTTCTTTGATGAGAGCCATCTGCTCGTCGATCTTGACCAGGAAATCCTTGACGTGCCGGTTGACGTTAAAAACGTTGCGGGTAACCTTGGTCTGAATATTCTTGGCCCGATTGGCGTAGCGTAGCGTGTTCTGAGTTTCGTCGAAATGCTCACTCGATGGGCTCACGCACACAATCATGACGGTCTTGCAGTTACCACCGAGCGAGAATTTGAGCAGGCGGGTGAGTTTGCTGTTGCGGTACGGCACGTGGTTCTTCTTTCGCGGATCGCAAAGCGCGTTGATGCAGCTTCCCAGGGCCAGCAACGACTTGTTGATGTTGGCACCCTCCAACAACCGCTCGCCCCGGTTCTTGGTGGCACTAGCCCGTTCGCTACCCGCGAGATCGATGATGCTCAGCGTGGCCATGGTGTGGGGCTCGTTGACGGCAGCATTCCGGTCCTTTTGGGCGACGTTGATCTGCAGCACAGCGTGGGACCGTGAAGAGACGGCGTTGGCTGCCGTCGGCGAAACAGTCCGGTATTCGTTTCCCTGCACAATCATGTCCATGACCTCCTGAACATCCTTCGGGTGGTGGCTGGTGAGTCCGGCAACGGTTACGGCCTGGTTCGAATCCTCCCGCAACATCAGGCCCTGCTTACTACCGCCCGGCACCAGCAAATCGCGGATCGTTTCGTTGTAGATTTCTAGGTAAGAGAGGGAAACCTCGGTTGTCTTCTCGCCACTCCTTTCCCCAATCTTCTCAAAGAGTTCCTGCATGGTGAGGAAAATGATACCAGGGTGCTGGGCAGTACCGGTGATGGTGTGGGTCTTGCCGCACCCTGTAGCGCCGTATGCGAATACAGTGGCATTGTAGCCGTCGAGGATGCTATCCAGCAGGCCCTTGGTGGTCCCTTCGTAAACGTCGCTCTGGCAAGCAGTTTGGTCGAAGATGCGGTCGAATGCAAAGACCTGGTCCTTGACTTTCTTGCCGGCGGCGGGCACGACGGATCGGGTAAACTTTTGAACTGGGCTGTCTTCGGGAGGGTCGAAAACTCTGTGTCGCGTCAGCTCGAGAGCAACCTGGACGGCTCGTCTTGTGCGGGTCCATACAAGCATCGGTCGTCCACCACCTTGATGACGGGCCTAAGGCCGCGCTGATGCAACTTGGGGGTGGGTGCTGCGGCCAGCGATCCGTCACCAAGGAAGAGGGTCGTATCGTCAGTTTTGACTCTGTTATGTGTCAGACCACGGCCTAATCCCCATATAGCACTGCGGTGGAAGGGCGCCTCACAGTTGGGCAGCCTCTCGGATGGTGAACGGTCGCACTCGAACTGTAGAGAAACAGAGGTGGTTAGTGATGCTGCCCCGGGGACATCTGAGACTACGAGTGTAATGTAATGTAAGTTTACATACCTGCGACGGTGATAGAGGAAGCATTAGGGTCCATCTTGGCCTTTGGATGTCAGCCGCCCTCTGCGAAAACACAAAAAGAAGCAAGCGATCGATTAATGAAGCAGAGCGCAGGGTCGACAGGGCGATAACTTTCTCCGCCGTGCCGGTCAACAATTGGATACTGGAGAAAATAGAGTAGAAAAAAAGGTGCCCCCCGCGGTCAAATGTTGGAATGAATGAAAGTGCTGTCGCGGCTTCGAGAAGGGCAAGCGAACGCGTGGGATTAAGGGAGCGAACTGAAGGAAATGACGTTGCTGGTTCAGGATGGCACTGAGTGGATGGGTCTCCTGCCTGCAATTTCTCGTCCTGCGATTGGCGCATGGATATTTACTATTTTGGCCAAACTCAGTTTCCGTAGCGACCAAAAAGTGGTCCCCTTGCGGTCTCGCTTGTTCCTGAAACCAGGTGGGGTTGCCCTGGTGAGTTTGCCGGCCGGCAGTAGCCTGGTGGGGCATCAGACAAGCTTTGTGAACACACAAGCCAAACCATGTCTCTGACTTTTAGGTTGGTTTCAATGGTTTGACAAAAACACCTCTTTCACATTGACTCCGGATTGACTTGTCCAAGTTTCTCTGTCTTTTCCGGAAACTACTGGGAAATGGTTCCGCCTCACAAACCTCAGGTTTGATTCTCATGACAGCCCGAAATAAACAAATTTGTTTATTTCATCATCTTGTTATCTTGACTTCATCAAGCACATGTTCCCAGGTTCCTGTCCTTCCGGCCCTTCTCGACCCTTCTCGACCCGTATGACTTAGCACAAACCCTCCTGCGAAAGCACCACTCCGTATCCGTCTATCCGGCTCTTGGAGACCAATTCGGCAATGGGAGCATTCAGGAAGACGTTGAGATGAGCAACAAAGGTTGCCGTTGACCCGCTCGCCGTGATGCTGACGTCCCTGGCCAACAATGTCAGTCAATTCACAGACACTTTCGAAGAAGCGATCCACATACCACTTGCGGTCAATATCGACATCCAAATTAGCCCCCGCCTGACTGGCATACGACAGGTCAGCCGGGCTGCTGGCGCCGGACCCGCCGCTCAGGGTGAACGGGGTCGACACCTTGGCCGTAGCGCCCGCGTCCAGCGCCAGCAGCACGTAGGCCTGGGTCCGGGTTTGGAGGAGGGCCTTCTTGCAGCTGCCGGGGAAGGACACGGTGACGGAGACGTCGCAACCGAGGTCGGAGTTGATGACGGGCACGTTCTGGCCCGCTTCCAAACCGAAGGAGTCGAAGGATGCCTCGGCCACGGTGTTGGAGACGCCTACCAGCGTGCTGTAGGTGCCGGGCGGGCAGCCGTCGCCCGAAGCGGTCATGGAGGTGATTTGTGCCGAAGCCTGCCGCCGCTCTAGGGCGAGGGGGCTGGCCAGGGCGACGGCTGGGAGAGAAAGGAGGGCGAGCTTCATTTTGATGAGGGGGGCTGGTGACTTGGGAGTAGTGACTTGATGGTTAGTCTAGATATCCAAGTTCAGCGTGAAAACCGCGTGAATGACGGTGCCTTTTATACATCTCTAGACGCATATTCTGAACACCAAACCCCTCATTCAGGTGATAGTCCGAGGTGTAGTGGCAGTCGATAGCGCCGAGCTAAGCCTCTTCCCCTACAAGTCCAATCCTTCTACCACAGCTGACTAGTTGATGGAAATCGATATCACTTCCTATTTCTGTTTTATCTTACCTCTTGTGTCGTCGACTTCCCTAGGGCGTTGCATTTCCTCGGATTTCGATCTAGACCGAGCTAGCCAAGACCGAACAGGCCAAGCGGATCTCAACCCATACCTACGGCCGCCCGCTTGTCAGCCTTGACTATGTCATACTAAGGCTAGGACCGATGCGCAAGTTACTAGGAAGCTGCACCCCAGTGGCGAAGGTCGGGTAATCCCTGCAACAGGGTGCTGAAAGGTCCCAGGACTCCGGGCCATGCAGATCGAGACCAACACGCCGGTAACGATATGCCATCGTGCCCGTCCAGTCCACCCCCCTTCTCCAGAGCCCCTCAGCCGTGTTCTTTTATTTGCCCTGACAAATGATGACATTGGGTCCTTGACCAAAGACTAACAACATTTGCCCCTTAGTATGAGGCTGGGAAGGGTGTTTACCGTATCGTGGTACGGAGTTACCCCAGACCCTCAAGTCTGGTTATAGTCCTTTCATCTCATCTTCAACCAACACCCAACTCGCCACCGTGCGCCTTGCTGTCATCCCAACAATCCCTTCCGCACTAGATATAGAAGTCCCGCATCACCAATTATCACCCGCCCTCCAGAGACCGCTACGGGTGCCGCAGCGGTCAACTCATCTGGAGGGTGAGGTCTACATACGCCGTCAACGGCGCAGGTTCGAGACGTCTCGGCACGATGTAAAATCCCGCGGGGGGTTTCGTAGCCATCTACCCCTCAGTTGCGTGGTAACTAGGGTTAGATGGTGAGCTTTTTGTGAATTTTTACTTTGAGTATTTGCGAGTTTAATCTTCTCGAGCAATATGAGGCGACCACAACCTGCAACCCACCATCGTACCTAACATCGCGACAAACCATGGAGTTGGGTAGTCGCGATCTAGTCATCTCACGCAAATATCAAGGCCAACAATCAAACACGACATACAAACTAAACAAGGGCACACCCATCTTCATTTCTTACATGGATATATTCATTCAATTATCAACTAGCATTAGTTCCTCTCCACAACCTAGAAGGTAACTTCACTTATATAGCCCCCCACCCCATCCCATCACTCCCTCACTTCCTCCCCCCCACCCAAAAAACTCTCCGGCGGCCCCAAATAACTCGCCCTCACCCCTCCCAAATCCACCACCACCTTCTGCACCACCACCCCCGGCATCAGCGCCCACACCCTCAACTTATACGCCCCCTCCTTCGGCACGGCAAAGCTACTCGTCGTGTACCTCCCCGTGCGCCCCCACACGCCATCCGCCACCGCCCCGTCCCACCCGGCCGGCATATCGCCGCCCTTGGTGGCGCCCACGGGGCGGACGTGCTGCACCGTCTTCTCGTCGGTGGTAGTGGTGCTTTCGGAGGCAGGGACGAGGGCGATGGCGTACTCGAGCGGGGTGGCGTCGCCGAGGTAGTTGAGGGCCGGGGAGAGGTGGAGGGTGACGTTGGCGGCGGTGTGGTTGGTGAAGAGGTAGAGGTCGTATTCGAGGGCGGGGGCGGTGGCGAGGGTGAGTTTTTCTGCGTGCAGCGGGAGGAGGCCGACGGCGGTGCCGGTGCGGCCGTAGTGGGTGAAGGTGTGGTATTGGAGGTGCTTGTTTTGCGGGGTGGATTGCGCCGGGGGGAGGGTGCGCGAGAAGGCGGACCCCGGGAAGGAGACGTGCTTGTCGGACTCGACGTAGCCTTTTTTGAAGGAGGACGGGAGGGCACGGGATTGGATGGGGAGGAGGACGTGCGGGTCGTCGAAGCCGAAGCGGTTCATGCCGATGCAGGGGGTGGTGATGTTGATTTTGACCGTTTCGGCGAAGGGGGCTTTGGGAGCGGATTTCCAGTCGACGGAGACGAGGACGCGCGTGTCCGGGTGGTTGACGCCGACTTTGCCGGTGGTCTTGGAGAGCTTGACCCAGGGCTGGGAGGCCGCGGCGTTCCAGGTGCAGTCCTCGACGCCGCGGGCAAAGACGTCGAAGTAGCGGGTTTTGGGGCCGTAAGGGTCCATGGGCGGTAGCGTCAGGTCGTTGCCGCTGTTGCCGTGCCATCTGTCGTCGCCCTGGACCGTCGCGTTGGACCCTTCGACGCCGACGCCGATCTCGCCGGCCAAGGCGACAAAGTCGGTCTGGACGTGGACCATCGCGGGGAGGGCGTTGCGCATGGGCTGTTGCCAGTAGCCGTCATACCCGAGATGCGTTTCTGTAAGGTCAGCATTTGGCTTTGGACAACCATGAAAGGGGAAAGAGGCGCTTACGATCCATAAAGTGCTTCCACTTGCCATCGAGCAGAGCATCCCAGCGGCGAGTGAGGTTGACATCAGCCGACGAGTAGGCGAGAACCTCCTGAATCACCGTGTTGGCGGCATTGCGCCTCTGGCCAGCATACAACATGTTCCTCGCACCGCCGATGTTGATCTTCTGAACGATCTCACCCGCCATCGCAGGGTGCAGGACGGTCTCAAAAAAGGCAGCCTGCGTCTCCGCCGGCAGCTTATCATAGATACCCTGAGCCTTAGCCACCAGCTCCGCCCACTCCTGCAGCACGGTCTCAGCCTCGTTGTAGTTGATGACGGAGTACACATGCGGCTCCATTAACTCATACTTGCGGCGGGCCGCGTACATGCCGTAGTCCATCATGACCTCAGCAATCTCTTTGGCATGAGCCGACCCAAACTCGCGCGTGGCCCAGGCCTGCGCCCACTCCAGGGTGCTATCAACATGCCAGCGCTTGGCGTCGTAGCCGAGGTCGAGGAAGTGGCTGATTGGGATCTCGAGCGACTTCATGTCGCCGACGTTGACGACCCAGATGCGGTCGGCGCCGCGGGCGTACGCCATGTGCATCTGCTCGGCCGTCTTGCTCAGCTGGATCGTGTTGATCCACTTGTAGTTGCGGGGGCCGCCGACGTAGTCGAAGTGGTAGTAGATGCCCGCGCCGCCGACGCGGTCCGTCTCGTTGAGCAGCGGCAGCCGCCGCACGTTGCCCCAGTTGTCGTCGGCCCAGAGCAGCGTCACGTCGTCGGGCACCTGCAGGCCCGCGAACAGGTAAGACATGACCTCCTTGTAGAGACACCACGTCTGGGGGACGGTCGCGATGTCGGTGATGTTGAGGCCCTCGACGAGGATCTCGCGCTGGCTCTTGACCAAGGCGGGCAGCATCTCCACGATGTGGTCGACACCGAGACCTCGATGGCGGTATCACCAGTTCCTCGCCATGCCATGTCCACAGGCTGTTGGCGGGCGTACGACTTGGCGCGCTGACACCGTACCGGAAGTAGTCGTCGAATGTCTCGTGTGAGGTGTACGCCCAGGGAACCCTCGTAGAACTTGCCCAAACTCGTTTTGCGCGCGCATCATGAGCTCCGTGTGAGAAGGATCCGATGACGATCTCGAAAGCATCTGCCCAGGGGCTGGTTGCCCGGGTCATCAACCTCGAACATGGTCGCCCAGACGGTGGGTCCACAGGTAGTTGGCACGGAGACGCAACAGCAACTCAAAGATGAGGCTGTAGAACGCGGGTCCGTAGCCGGCGCCGTAGGGGGTATCTTCCCAGTGGGAACTGCAGAAGTGTGAGCAAGAGTCCAGCACTGGTTTCACGTCAGAACTTACGCAACCCAGCTGGTTAACGCCGGCTGTTCATCGTTCAAGAAGAAACCACGGTACTTGACCGACGGTGGGCCCTGGACCTTCTTCTTGTCGGTAACGTAGAGGTTCTTGCTCTGCTTCGGCGGGCTGTCGGCCCAGAAGTACCACGGGCTGACGCCAATCTGCTCGCTGATGTCGTAGATGCCGAAGATGGTCCCGCGGGGATCGCTGCCCGCGATAACCAACGCCTTCTTGCACCCCGGCACCGGGTTCTTGACCACCTGGCTGGTGAAGGACTCCCACTTGCCCTTGACGCCCGACACATCGATGGACTTGGACGAGATGAGCTTGTCAATGACCGTCGAATGGCCAATGGTGCCGGCGATGATGACAACGCTTCCTGGCGAAGGGTCTGAGTACGCCGGGCCTGCGAAGCTGGCGGTTCCGGTGGTGGAGAACTGTGGGTGGTCAGCCAAGGTCTTCAGAGGTACTCACGAAACTCACGTGTGTGTTGTTCATGTTGTTGACCGGCTTGTACTCGTACGACGCCGCCGCCGCCTTCTTCTCGCCATTGCTGAGCGTGTAGTTGGTGCCTGTGACGCGCCCAAAGTCGACGGCGAGGTCACCAGCCGCGCGGATGACGCCCCAGTAGTCATCCTTCGACACCAGAATTTGACCCTTCCCAACAGGGCCGCCGGCAATTTGTAACTCAGCTCCATGGCCCTTGGTAGAGATGATACTCTGCTGGCCCAGCGCGGCAGCCACCGAGGCGAAGGCAAGCCAGAGGGCTCCCTTCACGCCCGTGGTTAGCATCTTGAAGGTGGCGGTGCGCAAGCTATGCTGCGAACAGTCCAACCAAAACGCGGTGGCAGCTCACAATCACGTCTCCTCGGGGACTGAAGGTGAGGACGATGCTAGCGAAGAGGTGTGTGCACGTTGGGGTTGCAGATCGCTCCCGATATAATATATCCAGGTCCCCGGGTATGCAAGGTACGGCGCTCCACTCCCGGGGCCGGGCTGCCATGAGGCCATGAGGAGATTCAAGGTTGGGCATTGGTGGGAAAATAGATTAACCAAAAAACGACGGCATCGCTACCAGCCCTGTACCCGTCGTGGGTCGTCGTATTGGGTACTCCGGAGGGGACATCGCCATATCGCCTCCAACCGCCACTAGCCATGTTGGAGAAGAACTCCAAAGCCAAGATTTGGAGACGAGCTCCAAGACGGGTGCCCGCCGGGCTGACGGGTAAAATGTCTGCGTGGAGCGAAGGGCCAACAGTCTCTTTCTTGGGTATGGGGTTGGCCAATGGAACTATCCGAGTTACTGTGGACATGTACATGTTCCTGAAGGGAGCACTGCCGAAGGGCCGTTCAAGTGTTCCACAGTTCAACGGCTGGGGCGATTCCTCTGCTCCCCAACGTCAGCCAAGGTTTACCCCAGCATCCCCACACTGGGGTCAAGCAGGGACGAATCCGGGGATAGGCAATTTCCTGGGGCCTTGATCTGCAACAATGACGGTCGCTTCCCATCCGTGTGACAACAGCTTGAGCGGCGTGTCGGGATGGTTCTTTGAGCTCCTCACGATCGCCATATTGACGCGGGAAGCCATGAGGTGGAAATACAACCGCAAGGTTGCAGTTGAAGAACGTGGTAACGGGAAAGATGCAAACAAACTGGAAGCGAAAACATCAATGGCAAGGCGGGGGAGCGGAGCGGAGGGAGGAAGATGGCGCTAGACTTTAGCCGAGAGAAAGATCCACGAGTCGATTTCCAAAGAAGCGTATTTAACCTCCCGAAAATGCAGGTTGACTTCTTCGGGCCAGGGTCCAGCGCGAGTCGATCCGTCAACGCTGTGTTCGTTCCAGCTTCCAGAAGCTGAGCTTTGTTGGGTCCTCCTGCGTCCTTCCATCGGGACAACGGGTTACCCGCAATTGATAATGAGCTGCGAGCCGTGTGCCATCAATGGCACGTGTGTGGGCTTGATGATGATGCCGCCGCCCGGAAAGCCGGCCCTTGAATTACGAGATTCAGGTCCCAACAGCTGTTGGGTAGATTCGCGGGAGCTGCCTGGAGGATGGGACTTTCGGTTCTCGGTGTGGTTCGATTTCAACAAGGGAGGCGCACTTACACAAGCGGGAAATTCCATGAATCAAGATACCTATGTCGTTCCGTCGTTCCCGTAGTCAAGCAACACTGACGCACTGTGGTGACTGAGCGGGACGGCACCCAATGTCAGCTCGAGTCGGGAGGAGCCAGAGGCGGGAAGACCAACCTCGTCGCGGCCGGTGAACATCGAGAAGAAGAACATGCATAAAGATTGCAAGCGGTTCACGGTGTTGTCGTCATGGCAAGCGCGATGCATTTTCCTGCCTCAGTATACACGGCAGAGCACATACCTCGAAGCTCCGAGAACCGCCCTCACAAACTCGTACAAACTCCTCCAGTCCAACCAGCAGGCCTTGCTTAGCGACGCAGGCCCGTCGACAACCCCTCAAGCAGTCCCCTCGACCCACCGATACCGCGGCAACATGGCCATCTTCTCCTCCGGACTGACCTCGGTATCCCCATAGACCATCCTCGTGCCCTTCTTCTTCTTCTCCCCCGCACCACCACCTGCCCCCGCTTCCTCCGCCGCCCCTCCAGCCTTTCCAGCGCCCGGTCTGATGCCCGCCTCGGCCATTCTTATCATATGGTCGATATCATCACCGCCGGGGCCGCCCTGTCTCGCCGCATTCGCCACCAGTTCGTCCACAGTCGACGGCGCGCCGCCGTTGTAGAAGTACGGTGCCGCGCCGGCAGATCCGCTGGGCGGCCTGGCGGGTAACGGGGTCGCGCCTGGTGGGAAGGTGCCGGCTGGCGGCGGGTAACCTTGTGCCGCGGGATAAGGCGGCGCGGCGCCCGGGGCGGGATAGGGATAGCCCGGTTGTGGAGCGGAGTAAGGGGGGTTCTGTTTGGACAGGTGTGAGGATTGGATGAGGTGGTGGTGGTTAGGGGGTAGATTGGGGACGCTTACGGCTTGTGCTGGGCTTTGTCCATCGGCGGATGCGGCAGCAACGGGAGTACCGGTTATCCCTGCGGCCTTCTGAGCCGCAACGTTCGCGCGATGCTCGGCTAGCCGCTTCTTGAGCTCCTCGGGGGTCTCGTACTTGAGCTTCTTGGCGGGTCCCTGGCCGCCTGACAGTCCTCGTGGAGGGTTACCTGTCGCGGCTTGCCTCTCGGCCTGGGCGGTGTAGAAGTTCTGGATGATGCGCTGGTTATGCTGTTGTATGATGTCCTCGGGTACTCCCTCCATGCCGAAGATCTCAATCTCGAGGCCTTGCCGATTTGGGAGCGCATTCTCGACGCTTGTGAGGTTTTCCTTGTGGACTTGGTTCATGTGAACGGAGAGACCTGCAAAGCGGGCAATTGTTAGCATTGTCTGCCTATTGAGCGGGCCGGGCGCGGTATGCCCAACGCGACTCCTTACACACCTCCAGCCGTGTTTAATCGCTTGCCGCATCGGTCGCACTTGAAGTGTTTCGCCTTCTGATGGGAGATGAGGAGCTTGAGATCCTCAAAGTCTCGCTCGCCTGGGCAAGAATCAGTTAGCTTTTGAATCGGAATGGGGGAAATCGCGAGAAGCGCACAGTAATAACACCATGGTCGCGATAGGAGCTCCTCCACGTCTGGGTGACCGCGCTTCTTCTTGCCCATTGTGATCGTTGGCGGGTTTGGGGGGAATAAGCGTTTGGCACAGTTGTTTCAACGAGTGTGGGTTCTCGGGCAGGTGGTGTGGTTGACGTATTTCGAGACGGTGGGGAATGATGTTGATGGATGCTAAGGTTCGATGCTCTGGTGTTTCCAGTGCTGTCGAGTTCCCAAATATTCAGCCTGCCGCCGGCGATGAGCGCCACATGACGCTAACCCTATTACGGACTAGTGGCGTTTCTGCCACAGAGGATGTTAACTTAAAGTGGGTACCTGCCCAGCATTTCTCACCAACCACTTACTCTCAATCTGCATAACTCACCTAAGTGCATAACTACAACACCCACCTACAAGCACCTCTAATTTAATCTTTGCTACTTTTCTTACTATCATTTTCAATTCCTCCACATCAATCAAGACACATATTGCCGCTCCGTCCTAACTACCAAATTTCATCTCCGGGCCGCACCGTCAGCAAATCACAAAGCGTGCAATATACATGTAGGCACCCGCCTACCTACATGTCCCTACCTAAGCAAAGCCTGGAACCCAACGGAAGAGACAAGACGAAGACATTCACGCTTCGTTCTATTCCTAATCATCCCGGGGTGTTTTCTCGTGCGGTGAAAGTTGTATATAGCGCACAGTCTGAGATGTTTCCCAACATTCATCTTCCAGAGCTCCATACCCACAACTTATACGAGAAACAAAGGCCGCCATAAGATAGACAAGAGTCACAAAACACTTACGTTTCCGAGGGCAACGCCGCCTTCTATGGTCGAAACATCCGTGCCGGGGTCTATCTGCAGACCGCGCCAATCGTGACAGGGACCCTCTTCCGGCAGACAGCGATGTTAGCAACCAAGGTCCCTTATTATAGGAGTGGTATATTCCAGTTCGCTCTCGCCGCTCGCCTCTGAATCCTCGCCATCAGTGTCTTTTTTTCGCGCGTTGACCTGTACGGCTGGTGCGCACTTTAGGCAAGGTCTGGCGCGTTTTTTTTTTGGCTCAGCCGCTCTGTGGTATTACTACTCCTTGCCCTAAGCGTGGAGCCCATGACCCAGTGAAACAGCATCACCTGGGTCTCGAGTTTAGTGGCTATAGGGCAGTTGATTGGGCTTCTCGTCGGCGTTGGAAGTTTTGCTTCGGTCGCGCTCGGGTGGGAGTACGCAGTTCTCGGTACCTTCCAGCGGCTGAAGAAGGCCCGCCTAAATGATATTTATCCTTTAGGATCAATGACTCTCCACCGACCTAGTCGCCGTTTCATATGTGGTAACTCAAGTATGGAGAGATATATAGTAGTTGCGACAGAAAGATGGAGAGGAAACGCTTCGCTACTTAAATGGAAGGAATGAGGTCCCCGGGGGAATTAGCCGAACTGAACTTGGAAGTCCTTGGGAGGCTCTGTGGTGGTAAATGATATGGGCGCGCCAGGCAGAGGGGAGGAGTTGGTTAGTGCCTCCAAATACCTACCTACCTGCCGAGATGTAGTCAATAGCATTCCAAGATTGTATAATTACCATATCACCTCGCGTCTTGGAGGCCTAGCTCCCCTAACGCCCTCCCTTGTTAGATCCCCTCTGTGTAGCTAACTATACCTAACAAACCAGCTAAAGCACACGCGATTTCTACACAGGTCTAAAGTCGTTAGCTGGAGCTAAGGTGCCCCCGTCATGGAAGGATGCTTTAGCCAAGAGAGAATGATGAAAAAAGGGGGTTTTGAGTTATAGGCGCTCGCGTTACTAGTGCATGAGTTCCGTAAAACTAATCACTCTCAGTATCTTGCGCCATATGGGGACGAGGAGTAGAACGCCATGGGCGAGGTCCCACGGTCGTTCTGAACCACTTCAGTGACTGGCAATTGCCGAAGCCTTGCAAACCGAGGTCTAAGTTCTAACGAACGATGGGAGAATGCACTACACAGCTGCACGGACGACGACGTCGAGAAGAAAGACGGGCCCAGATGTCCGGATGGCGCCATGTAAACTGGGTTGTCGAAAAATATGACATTAACAAGAGACAATCGGACAGTGTGACATATTGCGTACCTGCCTGGCAGGGTACGATGACGGTAGGAGATGGGAACCACCTGGCCTAGACAAAATATGTGAAACTAAGCGACACGCACTTGTATTGGTGTCTTGATGGATAGGTAGGAGGTACCTACTGAACGGGGACATGGCAAATTGTTGCCTTGGATGTAACCTTGACGTGGTGAAATGAAGCCTCCATTGTAGGCCGTTGAGGTAGGCGAGGGGACTAACCCCAACGGGACTAGCAACTAACAAAAGCAGGTTTATGATGTTGAGCTGCCTGGATCTTGTCTTTCGAGTGCCACTCGCCACTCTCGTTCTTACATTCGTTGGTGCTCAAGGGAAAGGTTGTATAGCACATGTTGGAAACAGGCACGCACTAATGCCAGTGCTCAAGAGTACCTCAGGTACCTAACCTAGTACCACAGCTAGGTAACTTTTATTACAGTTGTTTGCCTCTTCAAGTTAGGCATCAGAGATCCTGTTCACTAATACATCTCCTGTTTTCTTTTCTTTTTTCTCTCCTTTTCTTTGATTCTCTTCGCCTGCCGCCGGCTCCCTCCATGTACCGTCAAGTCCCAAACCAGACACTATAGTTCCTCGTGCAAACGTGTATCTTAAGTGGCATAATTCTAAAGCAACTGGTCCCCAAGATGCACGCCGGGAACAGTACCCAGAATCCAACAATCTTCAGTTTCACACGCCATCCTGCATCGATCACTTGGCGGTTGGGGGAGATCGAAGAAGTTGCTGCACATGTCGCCAGTGGCGCAGTATCACGGATGCCAACAGGCCCAAGCGATGCCGTCGTTCATAAGATCTTGAACTCTTCCATCGCCTGGCTCCATAGGTACCTACTCAGCTCATTCACCTTTTGATTTTACCATGTCAAAAACAGATCATCACAAGAAGGGAAATGATCCACATCGTTTCTCGCGACGCCCCTCCCTCTAATCTTTAGGCTGCGTTCAACACGAACAGCCGCAACACTTCCGGAATTGGGAATGTATATGATATTGGCGACGAGTGATGGAGAAAAAGCCGCCGAGGGCCGAGGCTGAGGAGTGCAACCCAAGAGTCGCCAGCTCTCGCGCGCTTAACAAAGCATGAAACACTGCCGATCAACAGCCGTTGTAGGGTAGCATCGAGTGGGAAGCGCTCCAGTAGGAGGGCCTGTTTAATATCCGTTTGTCGCATGCAAGTGGATTTCCCCGGTCTTCCTCCGCACTACCGAGAGTCCGGGTCCGCACACCTATGCCGGCACTACTTGCGGGCTGACGACTTTAGATGTTGGTGTTGATATTGGTGGAGAATCTTGCCAGGAATAGCTTGCTTGCGAAAACCCGGAAAGCCACCCCGACAAGCCCTCTGGGCGAAGCGGCGATCCTGCTTCCGGAAGCAATGATTGACATACATACAACCGGGCGTAGCCGCTCGGGCCTCAGGGGCTTTCAAGGGGCTATATAAACCCAGGAGCAGCTCGATCCTGTCTCGACATTCTTGTGCTGTTCCACACCGTCACCGGCTGTTGATTCACCTTGCCCGCCAACGAGCAACACCTTCATCATGAGACTCACACGTTCCAGCCTCGCCCTTCTCGCTACGGCGGGCTCTGTCGCCGGACAGGGGTGCGACGTTCCCTCCTCCTACAAGTGGACGTCGTCGGGCGTGCTCGCCGAGCCCAAGAGCCCGTGGGTTGCGCTCAAGGATTTCACCGTGGCGCCCTATAACGGCCAGCACCTCGTCTACGCGACGACCAACGACGGTAGGAACTGGGGATCGATGGCATTTAGCCCCTTCAAGAACTGGGAGGACATGGGCTCCGCCACCCAGACGGGCATGAGCCAGGGCACCGTCGCACCGACACTCTTCCACTTCGCCCCTAAGGATATCTGGGTGCTCGCCTACCAATGGGGCCCGACGTCCTTCTCCTACAAGACGTCGAGCGACCCCACCAACCCGAACGGGTGGTCCAGCGTGCAGCCGCTGTTCGAGGGAAAGATCTCGGACTCCGGCACGGGCGCCATCGACCAGACGGTCATCGGCGACGACGAAAACATGTACCTCTTCTTCTGCGGCGACAACGGCAAGATCTACCGGGCCAGTATGCCGATCGGCAACTTCCCGGGCAGCTTCGGCACGCAGTCGACCATCATCATGAGCGATAGCACCAACAACCTGTTCGAGGCGGTACAGGTGTACAAGATCGACGGGCAGCAGAAGTACCTGATGATCGTCGAGGCCATCGGCAGCGGGGGCCGGTACTTCCGCTCCTTCACGGCGACCAGCCTGGGCGGCGACTGGGCCCCCAACGCGGCCAGCGAGAGCAACCCCTTTGCCGGCAAGGCCAACGGCGGCTCCAACTGGTCCAACGACATCAGCCACGGCGAGCTGGTGCGTCTCAGCGCCGACCAGACCTTCCCCGTCGACGCCTGCAACCTGCAGCTGCTCTACCAGGTGAGAAATCGGCTTATTATCCATGTAAATGAATCTTCACTGACAACCCTAACCCTGAAAAAGGGGAGAGACCCATCATCGAACGGCGAGTATAACGCCCTGCCGTACCGCCCTGGCCTGTTGACGCTGCAGAAGTAGAGATGTCCTGGTCCTTTTGGTGTTTCGAGGTGTTTTGACGAAGGGGCGCAGAGGCGCAGAGTTGAGCCAAGATCACCTAAAACCCTAGCCCTGGTCACCAGGGAAAGGGGTCTGAGGACTTTCTTGGAAACATGGCGTCTACTCCTCAGTGATTAAGTTATTTTGCCAATATTTCGAGACGAGATTTGGCCGAGATTTCATGTACATACTCGGGGGTTGATTTGAACCGGCTCGTACATTAGCAAAAGCTGTATATGAACGAATACCCTTATGAGACCTAGTGCATGCCCCTACCTACACTTCTACGCCCAACGAAGGGGCCAGCTTCCAACCATCTGGAAACCAGTACACTTTCGCGCCTTAGACCGAATTCATACTTGTCTCTTGGGTACCCCCAAGGCCACGCATTCCGCCAGGCCGACTGTAGCACTGCCTTCATCTCCCCTCCCTTCGCCATAACCCGCTCCCTATCCCAAAACACATACCCCCAATCACGAAGCACGGCTGGGATATCGTCCCCGTACGAGTTGCTGTATGTTTTTCCCCAGATAATGACCCACGACAGCGGTGGCGCCTTCTCTTCGTCGCCGAGAAAGGGCATTCTCTGCTTTGCCCTCTCCAGCTGGTCATGGTGTGAAGGGTTGTGACGGCGCCTCACCCGGTCGTGATTCATCTGGTTTATGGCTTCTGGAATGGTATCATATAGGCGCCATCCATTATCCGCCGGCAAATCGATGAAGGTCCCTTCGTCGGCCACTCTAGAGAGGGCCTGCAAAAGCGGCAGGCCGTGAGAGATGGTTCCTTTTGGATAGATAGGCAGTCGTTTGCGGGCTAAAGTCAGCTACATGTGCATACCTATGAATTGAATAAAAAAAGGGGCGCGGAGGTATTGCATACCCATGACCTTGGGGTCAACCTTGCGCTTCGGTGCTGTTGTATCCATCCGCGTTATGTGGGGGTTGCAGACCGAGTTGTGTCTGGCTCTGACGAGCTGGTCTATGCAATGAACCTCCTCAAGTTCCCATGCGTCGAAGATGCTAAGAAACCTGGTTCGCAGTGTCTGATGGAAATCAAGCAGGTCTTGAAAAATCTGGAAACGATAAAGCGCTCGGAGGAGTCGGGTCCGTTCCATGTCTCGCAATGAGCCGAGTTTGGGTGGTTCCTGTGTCCCGAGGTTTTGCAAAAAGAGAGTCGTGCAATCCGTCATCAGGGGGTGCACAACGCCGAGGTAGAACGATGCGATGTTGGTGATATCGTCTATGCTACAGCGCTAGAAAGCCACATCTTCGGCAGGCCCATGTTGACTGTGGAGTTCCATGTACTCTCGTATGACTGGGCGGATTGCCGAAAAGCGCTTGGGTTGTAGCTTAACGACGCGTTGCTCGACAGCACGGGATGAGGCTTGACGAATATAAGCATTGACGAAGACGCTTCCGAGCGTTCTCTTGAGGCATTGGCATAAGAGGCGCTCGCGGCCAGAACGGTACTGCTGATAAAATACGGGAGAGGCGTGTACGAGGGCACTCAGGTCGCTCAGGTCAACGATGTGGGAAAGGATCAGGCCTGGAAGTTCCGCCGGTAGCATTTCTAGTGTGGACGTACCGGGGAAGGCTGCTTCCGTCTTCGCTACGCCAGCCATCGTGGCGGTTTCGCCGCGGGGGGACTCCCGAGTTGGCGATGGTTGTTTGCACGCGGCGATGTAAACGAGGTAAAGCCGTAACAAATTCGGGAGTTGAATTCGGTTTATAGGGGGTTGATGCGTGGGCAGTTTTGCTTGTACAGTGTGTCCTGTCGGGATCAAGTGGTGGGTGAGTTGGATATATGCAGTTGCGAGTTGGATTGTTGCGAGACAGAATCATGGTGTCATTGTCCGTAAATGTTGCCACACCTGGTCCCACCTCGACACGTCACCATGGCCTGAGCCAGCGCCAAACCGTACCCAGAAGTCCCAGAACTAGCAGGGGATGTTGGCCCAGTGCTTATGGCCAGCCCGCAACCGTTATGGTCAACCAGCGGCGGTATACCAAGGGTTCCCACCAGCGGCACCACTGGAGGGGCAGGACAAGGTCGAATTTCGTTTTACATAGGTACTTGCCGGTCCCTGGGCTGGAATACAAGATCCGCTACGGTCTTAGGCTTGGAGCTGTACACGACCTCCAGTGGTGAACGTCCGGTGGCTTCCGTGTAGGCCACGTCGAGGTTGTGCTGTAATTTGATGCTGGCAGCATGTCCGTCCGTGGCGTCTCGTAGTTCGTTGCGATATGGTGCCGGATGGCCCACTCTGAAACCCAGAAGGCGCACCGACGGGAAGTCAAAGACGGAGCTTTTGGGGCTAATTCCTAAGTTGATGTCCTGGAAGAGCTCTAGGATCGTGGTGACATACAGTACGTAGTCTTGGGCTGTTCTGCTGAAGATTATGACGTTGTCAATATACGCTCGGCAGAAGTGCCGGAAGCGATGCAGGCGACGGTCCATGAACCTCTGCGCGTAGGTTGGTGAGAGCTAGAACAAGATAGCTCTCTAGGAAAGAATGCAAGAGGACAACAATCGTGTTCCTGCCTTAGTTACGTGTTTGTGTCTGTGATGCGGGGGTGGCGGAAGGGGGAGGCGCCTTTGATGACGTGGAGAGAGATGTCTTAGAGGGTGACGGGGTTGCGGAAGTCGGCGTCGAGTGAAAGGATGGGGCCGATGACGCAGTTTCGGTCGTAGCCGCCGAAGAGAAGAGAGCCGGGCATCTTGGCAGTGGCGCCGGCTGAGCCGTAATGCAAGCCGAAGGAGCTGGACGGGGTTTCGCCGGCAGATTCGAGCGCCCAAGGGATTATGGTGGCGTTGACGGTTGGAATCGCGCCGCGCCAGTGAAGTCTTGTTGCCGATCGGGGCCGCCGATGCTGAGACAGCCGGTGAAAATAGGGTAGAGGGTGTCGTCGGGTAAGCAAACATCTGAGATGCGGATTCGATGAGGGCAATCGAGTGGTTCTGGGCGTCAACGATGTTGGTCGCGAACTGCATGCTCATGGTCTCCAGATACATGTTGGGCGAGCCCACGGGCTTCGATGCCCGCGGTCAGCAGTTGGGTTTCCGGCCTGTATGATATCCTTCGGGCCGGGTTGCTTTTGCTCGATCCGGTAACGATTTTATCTTTGAGGTAGGTCCCCGACGCGCAGTGAGGCATTGAGTTGAAGGCGCAATAATCAGACGTCGTGACATATTAGGTGTGGAACATGCGACCTGGGAATAGTGCGATGTTGGGCTGGGAACTGATAGAGACTTCGACAGCGTTCCAAGGCCCATCTGGGCCGAAGGCTTGCTTGGACCATACTGCCTGCCTTGGTTCCGCAGCCAGAACGAGCCGGAGGACCACGAGAGAGAGGGCGAAGAGGCAGGTTAAGAATATCATTGCAGGATGTTTTATCCAGGCATTATCCGTCCCCGGTCAATTTTGCGATGATATGTAAGAGAAGGAGGATTTCAAAAGAGGAACGACACTGGAGCAGGTCCAGAGGAAAAGACCGAATGACTTAAAGGAGCCAGCGGGCTCCCCGTCCCCCTGGGGCCTGACTCCTCACGATAAACCTTGTTTCCAGCCCCCTTCCCATTTCCCCTTTGCCTTGCCCTGGTCCTGGTCCTCAGGCATGGAACCAACGACGCGGATATTGCGGGATGTCGTTGAACGCACGGCAGGTTCGGTTTTTCGGGACTGTGTGACATGCTATTGTTACCGCCAGGCATATCATTTCTGTCCTAGTCAGAGAGCATGGAAGGGATTTAGTGAGCCGCGGTTATCGAGTGGGCGGTTACACAAACGTTGCGATTGGTCATTCAGGCGACCGGTACGATATGATGTTGCCCATTCCGCAGCGAACCTTGGCGCCCATGTGAAGACTGAAGACTGGACGCTCATAGGCGACTTGAACCTGAGGCTCTGGAACCGAAATGGTAGGCGCCGTCAACGCGCAGTTGGTGTGTCAGCTTCTGGTTCGGTGTTGCTTGCGCCTCTCGCTCAGCTGGGGGGCCATGGTGGCGGCCCCTAGCTGTTGGTGAAGGCGCTTTTGGAGGGCTGATCATCCTTTCTAAAGGCCGAACCCCCGCCTGCATCAGCAAGGCTGCCCAACATGCGCCATCGACCTCTCAGTTCTCACCATGCCTAGCTAGCTTTTCCAAGGCTTTTGGCCACAAGCAGGCTCAACTACGGCCAACAATATGAAGACTAGCGATTCCACGGCTGTCAAAGTCACAAATATCCTGTCATCACGCAAGCTGCGCCTGTTGCTTCCTATCACGTTGATCCTTAGCGTCTTCGTTGTTTTCGGCCACCGCTACGATGCACTCCCCAGAATTCCGGCGACGTGGAGCCAAGGAAGTGACAGCAAACCGGTAGACGACACGGAGAGTGTGGTTGACTGGTCACAATTCGCCTACACGCAATACGTGACCAACAGTCAGTATTTGTGCAATTCGGTTATGTTGCTCGAGCGACTGCAGAACGTCGGCAGCCGTGCCGATCGCGTCATCATGTACCCATCGTACATGTTGGACCAAAACGCCGCATCGATCAGCCCCGATGGCCGACTGCTGATCAAGGCACGCGATGAGTATGGCGCCAAGCTTGTACCCATCCAGGTCCAGTCCCGTCGAGGGGGTGATAGTAGGTTTTCCCCCTTATCCGTATACCCCGCCCAGCCCCGACGGAGTAAAGCCCCAAAATAGAGCCGGGTGCTGACTAGGAGCTCCCGTAGCAACCTGGGCCGAGTCCTTCACCAAACTGCTCGCCTTCAACCAGACCCAATATAAGCGAGTACTGTCCCTAGACTCCGACTCGGTGGTCCTCCAAAGCATGGATGAGCTCTTCCTCCTCCCATCCTGCCCCATTGCCATGCCGCGCGCCTACTGGCTCTATCCCGACACCAAGATCCTATCCTCACAGCTCGTGCTCGTCGAGCCGAGCGAGCGCGAGTTTTCGCGGGTGATGGCAAAGGTCGACGTCGCGGGGCGGGACGACTATGACATGGAGATCGTCAACTACCTATACGGCGACACGGCGCTGGTGCTGCCGCACCGGCGGTACGATCTCCTCACGCAGGTCTTCAGGTGGGAGGACGGCGAGCACGCCAAGTATCTCGGCGGGCGAGAGTGAGGTATGGGATCCGGTAGCCGTGTTCAACGAAGCCAAGTTCCTGCACTTTTCCGACTGGCCCGTGCCGAAAGCCGTGGTTGGAGACGGCGAAGATGCGGGCGAAGAAGCAGCCGGCGTGTCGTGTGCGGGACGGGATGGAATATTGCGTGGAGAGGGATTTGTGGAATGGGTTTTACGAGGACTTTATGGAAAGGCGCAAGGTAAGTCTCTTTTACCAGCTGGTTGATACCTATATTTGCTGACGATGTCGCAGCGGATTTGTTAGGTAATTCGCATGGTTCCGGATGCGCTGGGCGATTGACTGGTGGCTCGTGGTCACCAACGGGCCAACAACGTGTTTTATTTCTTGGGTAAAGTTGGCATCAAGGCTTGTTTGAATCAGAGGGCCGGATATCCCACATTGTGGTTTGGCGTTGTAGGGCACATCATGCATGGTAGGCGTTCGATAGGTAGCATTGACGGGAATTGAATTGTTGGTCCGACATGACCACCGGGTTCGGCGGCGGGACGGAAAAAGATCATGCCGATAACTTTTACCTTTCTCTTTTCCGCCTCCTTCCTGCTGTGCTGTTGTCCTAGGTACTTTTCTTGCATCTCGTGTTCAACCCCACGCCCAGGTTAGTTCTCTGGCACGGCGTGGGGGCCATCGCATGGTTGCGGCAGTTCATCCGAAAGGGCAGTTCTCGAACCTGGGAAGGTTGCCTTCAACAAGAACGCAGCAACAGCTCAGCTCGGATTGTGGTGGTACTCACGAGAAGAATGGGAAGCTTGGCGGCACCTTGATGGTCACCTCCGCATCGTGAGAGGGGGCCAACCGCCAGTCATAACGTAAAGCCATCAAGGTTCTCAGTCAGGCTTTTCTCAGAGAATTCCCGCCTTCTCTCAATACCATCGTTTCTTCAACCAATCAGTCAATGTGGCATTATCTGCAGCCCGCAGGAGTCCCCCGGTCCCCAGCCACGAACACCCACATCATCAGTTCATAAAGAAGCGTCATCCTTGAACGCCAAGTGAAGTTCTACCTATCCTCCTGCCTTGGAATGCTGAAAGGAACCGGCTTTGCTTCCACTTTGGAACCTAGAGAAGCCGATCGAACTGGCAAGCCGGCTGTACCACCACACTAGGGAAAGAAAACACACCGAAGCCCTTGCTCTCCAGCTCTGCCTCCAGAATGCCGAGAGAAGCCCCCCACAGGCGGAAAAGTCGAAGGACTCGGCCTCAAGTATTTATCTGGAGGCTACCACCCAACACCAGGGGGAAGGTTACACAGTGCCTACCATTCTCCAACAACACCACTCTCCCATAATCCACCATGCGCTCCTCTATCCTTTCCGCCCTGTACGTCCTCGCGGCCGGCACCTCAGCCCTACCCGCCTCCTCAGCAGCACAGGACACAGCAACCACCATCCCCTCCTCCACCGCCTCCGCAAGCTCAACCCCCACCCCCTATGACTTCACCGCCGGCGCCGTGCCCTCTTTCCCCATCCATTCCTCCTGCAACAGCACCCTCCGGCGGCAGCTCGAGCGGGCCCTAGACGAGACGGTCGAGCTGGCCGCACACGCGCGGGACCACATCCTCCGCTTCGGCAGCGACTCGCCCTTTGTGCAGAAATACTTTGGCACTGGCAACGGCACCGATGGGGCAGCTCTGGCCTCGACCGCTATGCCCCTGGGCTGGTTCAGCCGCGTGGCGTCCGCGGACCGCGGCAACATGACCTTCCGCTGCGACGACCCGGATGAGAACTGCGCGACCCAGGACGGTACGTACCGCCTGACCCCCCCCCCTCCTCTCCGACATGATCTTGGCCTTCTGAAGTTGCTCGAATGAAAGAAACTAACGGGTCGTATCAGAATGGGCGGGCCACTGGCGCGGCGCCAACGCGACGCAGGAGACGGTCATCTGCGCGCCATCGTTTGCGAAGCGGCGCTGGCTGAGCTCGGTGTGCGGGCTGGGCCACACCGTCGTCGGCTCGCCGCTCAACACCTTCTGGGCCACCGACCTGCTGCACCGCGTCCTACACGTGCCGCGCATCAGCGAGGGCATCGTCGAGCACTTTGCCGAGGACTATGAAGGGGTCCTGGAGCTGGCCAAGAGCGACCCGGCCAAGTCCGCCATTGATAGCGATACCCTGCAGTACTTTGCTATTGATGTGTATGCGTTTGATGTTGCGGCGCCGGGGGTGGGCTGTACGGGGGATGAGGAGTAGGAACAATGTTACTGCCAGTCAGTTCCCGTGTTTTAAGAGAACCTAACTTGTTTAAATCTACCTTAGTCGCCGAGGACTGGGTTGAATCAAGCAGGCCGTTAATAAATAAAGCCTTACGGCACCCTCTCCCAACCACCAGACTTTTCAGGGCATCGCCCGCAATAGCGCTATTGGTCTCGTTGTTTATCAGAACATATAACCCAGGAAGGTCCTGATATCCGAGCCCTGGTTTTCCTGTGCCTTCATTGCCATTGTGTAGGACATACCAGGTATCGCGATAACGTTAGAAACACAGGGCAAATCCCTTCTCTCTGGAGGGACGTGCTACATTGGTGGTTCAGTTGGATCATGTTCTTCTATCTAGAAATGAGGGGGGGGCAGATTTTGCAGCCGGGGTATAAAGGTCAGCGTGATTATCAGGGTCCGGATCAATTACACTCCCATCAATGTCACCAGCCCGTTGCAGTGTAATTGCACCTTACGTAAGCGAAGCCACATTGAATTGATCCACGGAAGGCACTCGTTGAAATGGATGCAACATGTTGAAATTGGTGGGGCCGAACTGTGGGCCCCGTTGTGGGGCAATAACCTAACCCAAAATGGGAGAAGTGGGTCCAAATTTCCATACAAATCCCTAACCCTAGCTATCATCAATCATCTTCCATGTGTCCGTGTGTCTTCCATGACAGTATTGGATCGAGATCATCAATCACGCCGGCATCGTACCAGCTGCGGAGGATCTGACAGAGAGATATTGTGTTCGCCTGTAGCCGGTTGCGTAAAGGAGTAACCATATGGCCAGTAACGCTGAACAAGCGCTCAACTTCGGCGCTCATAGGAAGCACCGTGTGTAGATCCAACGCCATGCGCGCAAGCCGTGGGTAGGTGTTCCTTCTCTTGTGCCAGTAGGCACGGGGATCCTCCTCGTACCAATCAAAGTCGCTATTATCTAGTTGCCAACGCTCAAACTCGTCAAGTTCGACCAGCGCTGGCGATGGAAAGGGTGAAGGAGAGGTGGGTGCTGAGTTTGTTGGAGTTCGCTCCTGGGTTCTGAAGATTGCGAACCTGTTGCTCGAGAGGCGGGGGATTTTCGTGGGTGGTTCTGAAGCCTCTTTCTGCTCGACTGGTAGGTCTCGGTATTGTTGCCTCCAGAGTTCTCGGACTTGTAACTTCGCTGGCTCGATCCAGTCAGCGTGATGCTCACGCCACGCCTCGAACCTACCCCATCGGTGCCGAGGGTGCAATGCGGTGGCAGCGTAGATGAGAGGAGACTGGCCGATCTTCTCGTAGTATTTGTCGAGCTTCATCCATGCGTTGTTGACGTTAATAGCGACGTGTTCGCCGTCAACGAGGTCTTCAACTCTCGCCTTCGCTCTCTCGAGAGACTCAAAGGAGGAACTCGTACCCATCGAGAAGATCCCAGCTTGCTCCCTGTACTAGACTGATCGGGCTCATCGCAGGGAGCTGCGCTTCTTCTCACGAGGTTGACTCGTCGCCCCTGAAGAGCTTTCACAACGAGCTCAAAGTCGAGAAGGGATCTTCTTTCAACACAGAGGATGACCTCCCAGGTCGTTCGCGGTCAACTTGTTCTCCTCATTTAAGAAGAGCGGCTCCTTCGCGCCTTTCTTTAGAGTGCCTGCTGTCGTCCGGAACTGCGAGTCAACGTGAAGCTTCGCCTCAAAGAGGAAGGTCTCGTAGAAAGGCTGGAGTTGAAGAGCGCGTTCCATCATGAAGTACTGAGAGAGCCACCGCGTAGCGTTGTCTGTCACCACTCCGACCGGCGTGTGTTTCTTGATCTTCTCACCTTCGGAGGCTTCTCGGATCCGTTGCTCTTGCGCCGAGATGAGCTTCTTGGTCCAGAGGTCTGACCTGTTGACCTCCTTCTCACGGTCAGTGATAGGTAGGTTGACAAGGCGAGATGCACATACCTGACAGAAGTTATGAAGCTTACCAATGGGGCCTTTCCTCCTCCATTGCTCATGCTCATGTTGAGTAGTGAGTAGGCTAGTAGAGACTTCTCGCTCAAAGGCATCACATTCTACACCAAAGAGTAGTGCTCTAACTACTAGGTTGATGATGTGGCCGAAGCATCGAACTCTCCTCTCTTTCCACTGGAAGCCGAGCTTCTCACCGATTATTTTCAACGCGGCGTCGTTATTTGTAGCGTTGTCGACAGTGAAGTAGCCAATCTTCTTTTCAATACCATAGTTTCTAATAACATCGAGGATGGCCTCCGCGATGTTCTCACCCGTATGCCGGTCACTCATCTCTGGCAGACCGAGCACAATCTTGTGAGGCGTGCCCTCTTCGTCTCGGAAGACTGCGCTCACGCCGTAGAGAGAGAGGCGGTTGCGTGAAGTCCATCCATCGAAGACTAGATGAACCAGCCCGGGGCTCTCCTGGAGCGTCTTAACCACCGCATCCTTATGCCGCTCAACCTCTCGTACAGCGAGGGCGTGAACAGTCTTCTCGGAGAGGTTGGCTTTTTGAATGTCGACAGAGGGGTTGAGGTAGGAGAAGACATCGCGAAGATAAGGGTGTTCAGCTGTGCGGAAAGGAAGATTGGCGCTGATGAGCCATCTTACAATCCTTCGTTGAAACTCAGCTCTATCGAACGCGCTGATCAAGTGGTTGGCCATCCTCTGATCTTCGGCGTTGTTCGCATTGAGATTGAAGAAGGTGGCGATGGATCTCGAATTGCTGCTCTCGCGTTGGGGCTTGACGGCAGAAGGCGGCGGTCGCTTACCGGTAGGATCGCTAAGCTGGTGAGAGTTAAAGAGATGAATCTCGACGTTCACAAGATTTCGTGGGTTATAGGCGGCTGGCTTCCGGTTGCGTTGTTGGATACATCGAAGGCATACCCATACACGGTCTTTGCCGTCGCGTGAAATATCATACCCGAATTTCCATACCCACGACCACGCTGGCCCCTTGCGTTCAGTGAATAGGTAGCCGGGAAATCGCTTGAAGAGAAAGGCCAGGTCTTCTTCAGTACGTGTAGGAACCGCGGCGACGGCAGCAGATGCTTCTGTAGCCATTATGGTGGCAGGTAGGCCAGAATGCCGAGCTCGTCAGAGCTTGAGCTGCGAATTGACTGGGATTAGGGCGGTGGGAGTTCTGCCGATGCCCTGACCGCTTCATGTTAGTGTTCACCATACAAATTACTATTAATCACTATCACCTGCTAAGAAGGACCCACTATTCTGCAATGTCTGCAATAATGGATCCACGTTGCAGAGGGCCAGGTTGAATTGCAGGGGTTTTGGAAGCCTTCAGTTGCATTGATTTATGTGGGGCGTTGCAGCTGCAATTCAACTGCAATGTGTATTTCCGTGTAATTGCTCCGGACCCTGGTGATTATTTGCTTCATCGAAACACCCGTGTCGAAAACTCTGCATCCGGGGGGTCTATCGGTGACACGCGGCAAAGAGAGGCGACATACACGCTGCTACTGGCTCGAATAGGTATCCCAATCCGCGTCATTTCAGTCAGGGTGCGGTGGATCCAAGCACTATCTGGCTGTCGGTGGGGGCGAGTATACGGCCTCGAGGAAAGCACTACCGTCGCTGATCGCTCTTGCCCCCTAACATAATAGGTCTCAACACAGATCACAGGGCGGAGCAAAATATTTGCCGGGTGTGATAGGTTTTTTAAGTATCTTGACTTGTTTCTTAGCTATTCGGGTGCCCTCCCTTCTCATCTTAACCATAGTTATTCGCGATGTTGCTGAGTAAGCATCGCTTTGTTGGGGATGAAGTCCATTCTGGAAGAGTTTAGAACGGGAAGACAGACACCAACAACTCGAACAGAGCCAATATAGCAGAGTAGAAAATGGCTCATGGGTGGTGGCAGCTGGCTCGGAGTTGTTCCCTATTTGCAGGAGTACACCGACATGTCCTGGATAACCGTGTTTTGTTAGATCCAAGCCTGTTGGATTCGCCATATGGAACCTCCTTGCGGATACCAGTGTCAGAAGTTGTGGCACTTGAAACACGGAAGCCTGGTTGCTGATGCGCTTATGTTAGAGGGGTTCCGGGGGTTGAACCAGAGGCTATGAAAAGGAGGTCAGGGCGATGCCCGCCACTGAGGAAGAAGACAGAACAATCAATCAATTATTTTCTCTCCGATCTTTCCGTCTGAGTGTCGTTTCCAACAAAACCCTCCCCCGAAGCTACAGACTTACAGCCGACGAGTTCACGTACTTATGTACTGTTGTCTCGCCACGCCCGGATGAGCGGACTTTCCACCCGTTCCACACTCCTACCGCGGCCAGAGGCAGAGGACTTGCGTTGGGACCGGTGTGCGCTGTGCACAAAAACCCAAGAAATGCTATGTCGTATGAGATTTATGTGCAACCATCATGCGGAGACTTCTGGCCAGGGAGAGGCGAAGATGGATACCCTCGCCTCATTTTCTGGTGGTGCCACCACTTGTGCCGTAAAATCCAACGGCTCAAGAATAAGGAACAGCTGGTGAGAGGGTATGTTAGATGGCGACAGGGTATGCTAGATGGCGAGAGCGTATAGCAGACGGCGACGGGGTATGATACTACCTAGGTACGGTATTGTCGGAGACAGATACCATTGGAGAGAATATTTGAAAACTCGGTAATTGGAAATGAGTCGCATGAAGATGCTCGTGGATAGTTGTCGGGATGGTGAGGATGAGGATGTGGGTATCGGCGTTGTACTTCCTAGGTAGTGTAATGCTGTCGGAGACGGCCACTGCTGGAGGTGTGTAGCGACGGTAGACCAACGCACCGATGTGGTGGTCGTGGAGTAAAACACCATGAAGACTAGGTGCCTGACGTAGGAATATGAGACAGGCGCATCCGAACAGCGGACAGACAACAAGTACGGGTATTACAGAGTCAAGATGCTCAAAGTGATTTACCACATACAGTAAATATTTTTACTCTACCCTGTGCCGTGCGCTAAAACTTACTCTCTTAGGGGGTAAGAGCGACGGTGGTACCTTCCCCGAAGCTGCGTAGTACCGAAAAAAGGGAGGGGATCAGGGAAAAGAGAGAGGGAAGAGAGGAAAAGGAAAGAGAAGGAAAAAGAAACAAAGATGACTAAGATAAAACAAAATCTTAATCCTAGCTCCACCATCTCAAGGAACTATAATCATTGCAAGTCTATGTTAGTAATATTATGCCTCTCTTTGTTATCATCGCTCGGCATTTCATGTTACCGGGTTACTGAGGTACTTTGGGACTATGGTATACTAGGTACATATAATGGAAAGCCCAATGATAAAGGGTCCAGATCTGAGACAATAGAAACGGGGAAGAGCCGAAGCAGTCTAACAATCAATATTTCTCTCTACGTTGGATCTGACCCCACAAGAAGAAACACCAGAAAGGCAGAAGCTGCTGCTCTGCTGCCTGGCCGGCATGGAGACATCGGCAGCGGCCTGTCCAGCAAGCACCTGCCACAGCAGTAACACCAAGAGAATATAAACTTGCATTGTTTTGATATTCAACCGACCGAACCCTCAAGCGCCTAATCCGCACGCCGGGTGAAGACCACCTTGGTGCTGTGTTTCGGCAACATCGTCGACCGCCAAGTCACGCACCGCGATTCTTCCCGATTCAGCAGTTCACAATGGTAGTTCATGATAATCTGACCTAGGATCACCTTCATGACAGCAGTGGCGTAGTATCGCCCGGGACTATACACAGGAGACGTTCCGTCAGTACCCATACATTTGAGCGGACAAACTTGCTACGAGCCAGGCAACGGATGGCCGGCCCATCAGGAACATGAGAGAAGAAACCCACCACGCCATACGCCCCGTGCCCCAAACATGATACGTGCTGCTGCAGTCGGTTAATTTGGACGGCTTGGGCTGCGGCGTCTTGAAATGGTCACCGGCCGCCTGGACGATGGCCGGGTCCGCGAACCGGAAGCCGTTGAACTGGAGTGGCTCCGGGTAGAACTCTGCGTCGTGCATCATGGCCTTGACGGGAGTGCAACCCCAGTCGCCGACGTTGAGCTTGGTGCCGTCCGAGAAGGTGAAGGGCCGCAGCGCGGCGCGCCGGGTGCTCTCTGCGGTTTGAGTTTCGTTAGCCACCAAGTTGTTATCTGTAGATGGGATTATAAAGTCAGTCCGCTTACGCGCTTCGACGGGCGTTATGCGGGCCGACTCCTTGATGAAGCTGTCCATCAGCGGAAGCCCGAGCCCGGTCTTCTCGAAGTCTGCGTAGCCGGCGAGGAGCTCTTGGCGCATCGGCTCTACATACTCCGGGTGCAGGCAGAGGTCATGGATGGCGAATGTGATAGTCTGGGATTCGATCATGTTAGAGACGAGCAGCCGCGTCAAGGGCATAGATCTGCATAAAAGGTACAACTCACGGTGGACACGGCGTGGACGGAGCCGAACCAGATGGCCATTAGCTCGTGGACGATACGCATGGGCGTCCAGGGCTTGGCCCGAGGAGACGTTTCCATGATCCATTGGATGCAGTCGGCCTTAAAATGAGGGCAGAATGTTAGGACCGTCCTGTCAGCCTAGGCGCAAAAAGGGGTCAAGGAAACACATACATGATAAGGGACATCTTGACCCAGGTTTTTCATGTCTCTTTCCAAGCATCTCTGCTCGGTCACGGCGAGAAGAGTGTTGTAGACAACATCTTGAGACTTGAGGCGCCTGCGCATCAGTCGGCCCAGGATCCTGGAAGCTTTCAGGTCAGTTGTTCTGCCGAGAATGGAGAGACGAGATAACAACTCACGGTGACATGAATTTCGGAAGCAGACGAACAATTTCGGCGCAGACAAATGTCTCCTCGATGTACGTAAGTGCCGACTCCATGAAGGCTTCGTTCTTGGCTGTCATAATTATTGTGAGCATGGTCACCGGAATAAGTCTCGTGGGGTGAGCCATATGATACGGGTTTGCCATACCTAGATCCTTGCCAAAGAACGAGACGGCGTTTGACAAAACCACGAGTTTCACATTCATGACATAGACAGGGCTTTGTGTGACTCCTAGAGAGGCAATACATTAGTGACCTGCTTAAGTGACACTCGGTGTTTGCCTCACCATTGATTTTGGGATGTGCCTCATGGAGACTCTCAAACCTCGTCCGGATGATGGTGCTCAAGTCCGGAAGAACGGCGGGGAGGTTGTTGGTCAGCATGGTCCGCAGAGCCTTCACAAATCCTACACCCTCTGTTCCTCGGCGATCGAACCAGTTGAAGGCATGCATGGTGTGTATGGGCTGGAGCATCTGCTTGGCCGCGGCCTGAAGCGAGAGGACCGTATCGGGTGCAGAATCCATCTCCTTGATGTACTTGGGAGACGAAACGAAGACGTAGCGGCCATCGGGGGCTAGAACTTCATAAGGCTCGCCGTTGGCCTAGAAAGGTTTTAGAACTTGTGTGTCCAAGTTGCCACCCCAATGATTGTCACGGGAGCTTGCCTTTTCAAAGCCGCCCTGGATGATGGCCATGCCATTGGTGAGATACATCCATGCCTGAATTCGGCTCATGACCGGCTTCAAGAGACTATTTACGCCGAAGACAACTTGAGCCTGTGGACTTTGTCAGCTGCAACCCCGTCTCCCGTTGACAGGACCGAGTGCGTGATACCTACGAGAAGCTTGTTTCCAGATGTGCAAGCTTGGAGGCAAAGCAGTGCAAGCATACCGGCGACCACAACAGCAGCCAGCGGGTTGACTCGAAGTAAGGAGGCCGGCGGCCAAGTCTGCTGAAGCCCCAGAGCTTTGACCGCGATTGTATTGTTCATGGTGTTCATGTTGGCGAGGAAGTCGACAATGCATCCAAAGACAAGTCACAATAGGAGAAAGAGCCTGGTGGAGAAGTATTTGGACTCTTGGTTCCTCATGCCCACCATCCTGCACATCCCCAACTCCCGTCACTTAGGCCGCCAGAAGACCGACGTGCCAGACAGGCACAGCAAGCCTTTGGACCCCAAATTCCAGTCGGCTCGCAGCTGCATGAGGAGGCACCATGGTGACGGTCAACCGCGCGGCAAAGCTGGATCCAACTCCAACCAAGTCCCGTTAGTGGTGCCTTTGTCCCCGAAGTGGCACGGTGGCAGGGAAGATGGGCTGGATGCATCGCCACACCGACAACACTGGAGTGGCCAAACTGTAACTACCTGCCTACATGTAGCTACGTACCTGTTTGATAATGAGAGGCTACATGTACGTGAAGGGGAGTTTTGCGGTTAGTTCTAACTTATTATAACTTACAAGTCACACAGTTTGCCACCCTCTCCCCTGGATTGTCCTTTTTTCTTCTTGTTGAGGCATGATACCCGTTGATATGTCAATATCGGGCGATCTTGCAGGATGCCGCAAGGGCTGTCTACATGTAATCGTGTATGTAATACATTGTACGCGCGGCGTTGGTCATTTGTCGTCCCGCGTTGTACACAGTACAGATCTACATGTACACAGTCCATAGACACTGAGGTTGGTTCCTTGTCAGTGACTCCTGTGCCGCAGTCTCTTATGACTCGCCCTCCAGTCTCCTCCCGCGCCATGTCTCATGCTACACTTGGCACATGCAGTGCGACCAACAGCGGCTGCGCCCTCCAAGGACTACCGTACACTGTCCAATTACAAATTAGGTGCCGTCGTGCCCTTGGAATGCAGAATTGCGGGCAGACCCGTACAGAAAGGCCGGACAGGAACTGGTTGGGCTCATGCTGTTGGTCACAATTTCACAAGTGACAACAACATACCTAAACCGACAACAGACATGGCATGGAGCTCGCCATCTGCCGCCCCTGTCGGATTTCGGCGGTTTAGATTGACATTTGAAGTACATAAGACGGCAGCAATGGGTATGATGCACGGGTACCATTTATAGGTACCTGTACTGTGCATTGGTGCACGCTGCCGAGGGACAGCCCCCAACGGCCCAACGTGCAGCCAACAGACAAACAGGGGAAGCCTGGGCCCGGGACAAGCCTTCAATCTCTGCATTCGGACCTCCCTTGGGGGCCGTCCTGTCCGCCTTGCGTCTTTCACATCCTTCACGTCCTTCACGTCGTCCAGTTCTCGGCCATATTTCCGAATCCTTCCTAGCGTTTGCTTCTCCCGCCATCTCGGCTCTTTCCATCATGGCCGACACCGAGAAGAAGACCACTGTCATGATGGAGTCCGAGAAGCATTCCCCCGCCGTTGCGGTAGATCCGGCAATACCATCGACAACCACCACGGTGACTCGTGAGCCGGCGCTTGTCCCGGTGCCGGCGTCCGGTGATGATGCACCGCCCAAGAAGCGCAGGCCGGCCCGCTTCTGGATGGTCATCGTGGCCCTCAGCCTGCTAGCATTCATCTCGGCCCTCGACGCCATGATTCTAGGCACCGCGCTGCCGGCCATCATTGCCGACCTCGGCGGCTCGTCCGTCTACGTTTGGATCGCCAACTGCTTCGTCTTTGCCGCGGCCGCCGTGCAGCCCCTGATCGGGCAGCTGTCCGACATCTTTGGCCGCAAGGGTCCGACCGTCGCGTGCGTGGCGCTCTTCACCATCGGTAGCGGCGTAGCCGGCGGCGCGACGGGCCCGACCATGTTCATCGCCGGCCGCGTCATCCAGGGCGTCGGCGCCGGTGGCATTTACGTGCTCATCGACATCATCGCCTGCGACCTGTTCCCGCTCCGCGATCGTGGCAAGTGGCTGGGCATCATCAACGCCTGGGCCGGCCTTGCTGCTGCCCTGGGCCCGGTGCTGGGCGGCGTCCTCGGCCAGAACGCCTGGAGGTGGATCTTTTACATCAAGTGCGTGCTCCTTGTCTGCTAGAGATGGCTACCCACTAACTTGACAACAGCATCCCCATTTGCGGCATCGCATTCGTCACCATCGTGCTGTTCATGCACGTCCGCAGCGGCAGCCCGGCATCCAACATCAGGTCACTCGACGTGGTCGGCAACCTCATCTTCATCCCCAGCATCATCTCGGTGCTCATCGGTCTGGTGACGGGCGGCGTCGTGCACCCGTGGTCGTCGTTCCGCGTCATCGTGCCCATCGTGCTCGGCGTGCTCGGCTGGATCGCCTTCCACCTGCACCAGCACTTCCTCGCCCGTAACCCGGGTGTGCCCTCGCGCCTCTTCAGCAACCGCACCTCGGCCGGCGGCTACCTCCTCACCTTCCTCTCCTCGGTCCTCATCCAAACCGCCGGCTACTTTCTCCCCGTCTACTTCCAAGCCGTCCTCGGCACCACCGTCTTCGACTCGGGCATCAACTTCCTCCCCTTCGCCATCGGCACGCTCTTCGCGGCGGGCATCGGCGGCGTCGCCCTCAGCCACTTCGGCGTGTATCGCCCCATCCACGTCGTCTCCTTCGCCCTCAGCGCCCTCGCCTTCGGCCTCTTCACCCTGCTCAACTCCACCACCCCCAAAGCCGCCTGGGCCTGGTTCGAGCTGATCATGGTGTTTGGGCTCGGCCCCACCATCTCGGCCATCCTCCCGGCCATCCTCGCGGGACTCCCCCAGGCCGACGTCGCCGCCGCCACCGCCGTCTTCTCCTTCATCAAGACTTTTGGTTTCGTGTGGGGCGTGTCGGTCCCCTCCATCATCTTTAACGCGGTTGTCAATGATAACTTACCTGCTGTGCGGGATGTCGCTCTGCAGAGTCAGCTTGTTGATGGTGGAGCGTACGCTTTTGCGAGTCGGGCGCATGACTTGGCGCCTACTGTTGATCCGGCTGTGTGGGCGGAGGTGGTTGGTGTGTATGTGGTGAGCTTGAAAGCCGTGTGGTGGTGGGGGGTCGCGCTTAGTATCGTGGGCGTGTTTTCGGTGGCGATCGAGGACGATTTGCACTTGTCGACGGAGCTAGAGACCGAGTACGGGCTGCGGGAGAAGGAGGCGCCCGCAAAGGGGAGGGGTAGTACGGTGGAGTCGGGGACGGGGTCGGGGAGTGTGTAGGGGGCTTGAAGCACTGTACATACATACAGACCGTTGTGTGCTTGGTGTGTATTTAACCATTGTCTGATGGCTACAAGAGCGAGAAGCGGGTTCCTTTCAACTACCTACTTAATAGAAACCACGGCGCGATCTCCTTTTGTATAAGTACCTAGATACTATCCCACGCCTCCTGCATCGTGATATGGTACTTTGCATACTGATCAGTTGGGTTTTCACTGTACACTGTTTCCGTTCTGAGGTCTGACTTTCGTCACTACGAGACGAAAGTGGACTCTTAATACCTAAATTACACACAATCCTCACATTAGCCCCTGACCTGCCTCCTCCTCCGCACCCGCACCCTCCCCTGGTCGTACGGCACCTTGAGCCAGACCATGTTGGTCAGCTCGGGCCGCGCGCCCAGGTACTCAACGTCGTAGTGCAGCACCATGTGCGCCACAAAGAGCTTCATCTCGTGCAGCGCGAAGAAGCGGCCCGGGCACGCGTGCTTGCCGAACCCGAACCCGAGGAACGTGTTGTCCAGCGTGACCGAGGACTTGGCCTTGCCGTTGCCGCTGCTGGTGCTGATGCTGGTACCGGTGGTGGCTGTGTGCTGCTTCTCTGCTTCTGCGTCGGTATTGGGGGGGTTGAGCTCGAGACCGTCATGGAGGTTGTTCTTGCTACTGCTGCTGCTGCTGTGAGTGGCGCCCTGTTGGGCGAAGCGGAAGGGGTCGAAGCGGTTGGGGTCCGGGTAGATGGCCGCGTCGCGGTGGATGGGGTCGATGGGGGTGGCAATCACCGTGCCGTAGGGGACGTGGAATTTACCGTGCGGGCTGTCCATGGAGATGCCGTGGGGTTCGATGACCTGAGGGGAAGAATGGATGGTCAGTGGTTGTCTCGGCGTATTCACGAGTGCTGGACAGAAGGTGGGTACTTACAGTTCGAGGAAGCGCAATGGACGCAAACGGGGTCAGCCTCATCGACTCTCGGATGGTCGCGTCGACAAGCTTGAGCTTCTGGACGGCATCGCGAGTCCAAACACCCCCGGCCTCCTGAAGGACAGTGGAGCACTCCTCTCGTAAGGCCTCTACAAGACTCTCGCGCTCGTGGTAGTTGTAGATGTCCGGGATGAGGTTCTGCACGGTAAAGCTGGTCGAATGCAGAGAGATGTCGTTCACGTAGAGTAGGCGACGGGTGATGCGCACGGGGTCGAGTTGGGCTGGGCTTTTGGTCCCGTAGGCTTCTTCTATGATCCACTGCAAGCCATCTCTCTGTACGTTCGTGTCAGAATGCAAATGCCACTCGTTGATAGGTAAGACGGGACTAGGGAGTAGCAAATTACTGCTTACAGGGGCCGTCCAGCAGAAGCTCGGGTCCTCCTTTGCTCTCGCCGTATTAGCAAGTCTCTCCTTGATGAATGGCATGCAGAGTTTCTTGGTGCGATGAAACATGAACTCGCAAGCCCAGCCGATGAGCGTCCCAGTGACTGGCTTGAACAGGCGTGGCGTTCCGCTAATCATGAGAGCGCCGAGGAATGTAATCATGCCATGATCTTTAAGACTCTTCAAAAAAACGGCATCGTGACCTGTGTGCCGTTCCACGTCGTTAGCCATTGAAGGAGAAGGCAGAGCCACAAAGCAAACCACCTACACAGAGGAGCACCACAAAACGCAGCATTAGACGCCCCCGCGATCAACTCCAGACAATTCTCCCAAGTCCGGAACTCCCTCCACTCATCCCCAGTACCCCACAATCGTTCAAACGCCGCCTCAAGCTCGGTGGATATGGCAGGAGTCAAGATATCCAGATTCCGTGTCACCTGGTTGCGGATGACATTGATCTGGAAGGGGTGGTTGACAATGTCCTGGTCCGAGATCGTGTATTTTGACTGGATGGTGTCGTTTGAGGTGTTCCACATGTCTATAACATTTTCGGGGAGCCCATACACCTTCTTGATCTGCTTTGGCGGGACGATGACCACTGGTCCGCGCTCAATGCAGGGAATGATGAACGGAGAGTTGGCTTTGCAGTACTGCCATTTTGCCGTGCGGAGCGCTTCGTTGTCAGTTGAAGCCGATCAGAAGACAGGGGGAGATTAGGTCCCTATCTCACCTTTGCATATCCCTCGAAACACCACTGCTTCGACAGGCTAAACGAGCGCACTGCCGCTCGTTCCCATAAGAACCATTGATTCCGGGTCCCGACGACGGGCTTCCCGGTCTTCCAATCCGGCGATAGGCTAACGGCCCGTCTCGCTATGACATACACCACGGCGAGGGCGGACAGGGCCATAAGGGCCTGAACCACGGCCAAGGGAAATGTACCTGCCATCTTTGGGTCTGATGTGGGCTGCGTTTAGCGGAGTGAGGGAGGTGGAAACCGCAGAGTTCATGAGCACAAGGAGCGATGAAGTCTCGGGGGCCCATGAAGACCCGGAACCAGCCCCCAACGTGATTGTTTTTCCAAAGAGTCCTTGTTAATGGCGGTGGTGTGCCTACGATGGCTTGGCGATAGTTGGTCGGCAGCAGTTTGCTGTCGATGACACCCACTATCCGTGCCGTTGATGCACATGCTGTGGCGTAGGGGGCAGTACCGCGGTTACTGTGACGTTGGGGGCGGTATCTGTAGATCGTGTGGCACGATGCGTACTCGGCCCGCTTCGTAAGCCAGGGGGTATCCAGGGGAAGAGGGGAAGCGTAAGCCTGGTTGTAACGCAGGAAACTGGCACCCTCCTTGCTGCAGGACTGAGAGAGTTATGCGGCCAGCTTGCACAAAAGATGGAGTCCCAGAGGAATCGAGGAAAGCCACTGAGATTTCAAGCTGAAGGTACCTACCTTAAGTATGGTAATCCGGTATCTGGTGACACTTAGGGTCCAGAAGTGAGACAATGGATTGGACACGACTCATGGCACCAGAAACACGCAAACTCAATAATCAAACGCCGATTGTCCAAACCACTACCGCGAATTATGTCCTATACACAAACACTTGCCTCAATATCGAGGTGGCTGGCCGCCAGAAACTCCCACATGATATGGATGCGCTACGGCATGCGGCCACTTCCCCACGGAATTCTGCTCCTCGAGCTGGTAGTAGTCATTGAAGTTCTCGGTGCTGCTTCCATCCCTCTGAAGCGAGTCCTGGGATTGCTTTGTAGACCTCCCTGTGCCACGGCTGGTGTTGCGGCCAGAGGTGGAGAGCAGAGAAGTGAGGCGCGAGTACCAGCCGGATCCGATGATGAAGCCGGCCCAGAAGGCCTTCACGGCAGGGACGCAACCAGCGGCGATGACGATGGTGGTCTCGAGGAGGCTGCAAGTAAAGGCGCGTCAGTATCAATAATTTGTATTTCCAGTGTAATAAGGGTAGAGACTTACGTCAAGATCATAGCAACCTGAACATCCGTGGCATGGCCCGACCTGGAATCGATTTTGAATTTCATGGCGACGGCGGTGCCCGCAATGGCCCTGAAGAGAGGTCAGATGTTAGAAGGAGAAATAACAGGGCTTAAGCTGACCATGACTTACACAAGACCGAACAAGAACACAACCACCAGGCCGATTTTCTTCTCCGTCGAGAGTTGCAGTCTGAGGATGACTGGGATGGGCAGAATAAAAATGATGATATCGGCAGCGAGTCCAATAGGGGCCAGGATGACCCCCGTCAAGGAACTGGCCTCGGTGCACTTAGCTACATAGCCCAGGAAGACGGCCGGGTCGTCATCGATCGAGGGCGGCCAGCAGATGACGGCGTTGTAAATATCGGCCCCGATGACGGCCATGCCCAGGACAATGGCGGTGATGATGGACGAGATGCGGACGCCGCGATATATTCCGAATATGCGTGCTAGGAGCACGAGTACCGGTAGCTTCGCCGTCCATAGAGAGAAGCCAGAGAGGAAGATGCCAGCTTCGGCATACTGTTTGTTGGACCAAGTCAACTTGCTGTTCTGCCTCGATGGAGAGCCTACCTAATGAAGAGTATGCTAACCTGAGCGACGCGACGGATGGCCGGGCGTGGGTCTAAATCGGCGAAGCCTTCGCCTTCGGCTAGTGTTGATGAGTTCACGTTAGCTCTATTATGTGCAAAGAAGAAGAGAGCCAGGGGTTACCAACACTTGTAGAGCTCGTAGAAGACGCCAAAGTTCCCGACAAGCAAGACCAACGCGATCATGGAAAGGTCTGAGCGCCGTCAGCAACTGCCGTACAAACAGCGGCCACCGCGCCCGTGCAAGTGGCTTAACCAGTGGTCTGGGGTCTTACAGTCATCTGCTTGGAGCTTCCCGGTCTGGTGCAGGTTGGCTGCGAGACGCACGGTGACGATGCCGGTGGTGAACACGGACAGCGTTATTCCCGCGGCCAGGATGCCGCTGGTATCACTGGTCGCAGCAGGCATACTCATGGTGAAGCTGACTGGGAGCAAAGAAGGATGATTGATGACCGATCTGCACTGTGTGCGGGGGCAGCTCGCCAAAAGCGGTCACTTCTGGACGCGAGCCTTGAGGATGAAGTGGATTGCATGCAACAGCAGAAGAGGGGAAATCACAAATCAACTCTTGTTCTTGATGATGGGGCTGACCGGGCCATTATTGAAGCCAATGTCTGATGAAGCATCCATCCGTGCCGCCCTAAACACGTGAAGCGGCGAGAGTCGTACGCCGTTGAACTAATACCACTCTTGGGGGGAACACTCGAGACGGCCAAACTGGCGGAGCGGCAGACCGGCAGCACACGCCATCCCCTTCGTTTCACAAACAATTTATCAGCAGACCAACAATTCCGTTCAGACCATGCTTCCCCTCCCCAGGACGCGGGTCGTGCCCCTTGCCTACATTTGCAGCCATCCTCGGGTTGTGTTGGTGCGAGAGTCGGCTAGAAACGACAGGGCTAGACTAATACATTATGCAAAGTACAAATCCAACGACGCTCACGCGGGTGGTTGGGGGCCATCTGCATGCTCCCGTCGGTACGTGGTGGGGGCGGAGGCGTCTGTCACAGCATGTACATGTATTGTACATACCTACCCTGGTACCTCATGTACCTACATCAGGTCTGCATAGGTAATTGGACTCTATACAATGCCAGTGTAGGAATTAGTGGGGTAGGACTTAGGAATACATATGTCTGGCTTCTTCAGGGGTGCTGGACATGTACATTCGTAGAATGATTTTCTACATTTGAGGGGTCACCTTCACACCGAAATTCTCTGGAACCGCCTTATAAACTGTGTGCTTTGGAGGAGAAAAGTGCTCCAACACTCGTGGTACTACCTCCAAGTTTCGGTTACTGTGTGATGCGTTGGTGCCTGACCACGACAGGTCTACGATAGGTCCAGCCACAACCAACAACGCCGTGTTTAATATATGACCTACCCGGGAAGGATTCGCGCGCCAAGAAAGCTGTTGAAGCGCCCGCTTTAATGGGGCTCGCCACGCTCTTTCTCACACTCCTCGCCCGGGTCCTCAGCTTCCATCCGCTCTTGATCCTGATGGCGTCCACAGACGGCGCGGTTCAAGCCTTGCAGGCAGCTTTTCCCGGAGGGCAGGTTCACATCCGGGGCAGCGATAAGTACGATAAGCTGAATGGCGCGTACCTGTCCGGCCTGGAGAGTGACCTCAAGCCTTTGCTTTTCTTTCAGCCGTCCAGCGTCACAGAAGTCGCCGCCTTCGTGTCTACCATCCGGCCCTTTGCAGGCTTGCTCGACTGCGCCATCCGCGGCGCGGGACAGCAGCCCCTTCCCGGCTGTGCCAATGTCGACAACGGCATCACTCTAGACCTGGGCCTGCTCGACGATATCACCCTCACCCAGGACAACTCTGTGGTCCAGATTGGGGCTGGCGCCCGCTGGGGCGCCGTCTACCAGAAACTGGATGCACTGGGTCTCAGTGTGACGGGAAGCCGCAGCGCCATGGGCGGTGTGGGAGGTCTGGCCCTGGCAGGTTCGTTACTCTGCCGTTGACTTTCGTGTTGCATTGATGTTTTGATGCTCAGGGAAACCATGGTTAACCCGCTGCAGGTGGCCTGTCCTTCTTCTCTAGCCGAGAGGGCTTCATCTGTGACAACGTCGTCAATTTCCAGGTCGTCCTCAGCTCCGGCAAGGTCATCAACGCCAATGCCAACGAGAACAGCGACCTCTGGGTTGCCCTCCGCGGCGGCGGCAACAACTTCGGCGTCGTCACGCGTTTCGACTTCCGCACCTTTAAGCAGGGGCTTCTTTGGGGCGGCAATGTCTTCTACTTTGCCGACAAGTTCCCTGGCCAGATCGAATCTCTTGTCAACGAGCTCAAGAAGCCCAATGCCAGCGATCAGACGCACATCATGATCAGCATTGGGCACTCGGGCGCCATGGCCACGGCATTCGGTGCTCCCATCATGTGCCTGAACCAGGCGTACTACAACGAGCCGGTCGAGAACCCCCCGGTCCTCGACCCTTTCACCAAGATGACGCCGCAGATTGACGTGCTTAACAGCATGTCTCTGAAGAACGTCACGGCTGCGGCGAGCGAGCAGACCGCGGCCGCCCAGAGCCAAGTCAGGTACGAGCAGACACATGCACACATCACCCTTGCCTCTACATGTATCTAAACCTATCTTCTCCCCCAGGGCGGCATACATCAACATCGCGGTCAAGGCCGATGTGGCCACGCTGCAAGCCATCAGCGACATCTACACGGCGGCCCTGCCTCCGCTGTACGGCGTCTCGGGCGCCACTCTCTCCCTCACGCTGCAGCCCTTCCCCGTCTCGCTGCTGGCCAAGTCGGACGCCCTCGGCGGCAACGTGCTGGGTCTGCACGCGGACGACGGCCCCATCGTCTCGGTCCTGCTGCTCTCGTACTGGGAGAAGCGTTCCGACGACGCGGCCGTGATCGCCTTCATGGAGAGAACGCTGGCGCAGATGCGCGCCGACGCGACGGCCAAGGGCACCATCATCCCCTACATCTATATGAACTACGCCTTCACCGGACAGGACGTCATCAACTCGTACGGGCCGGCCAACAAGGCCAAGCTGCAGGCGGCCAGCAAGAAGTACGATCCCATCGGGCTGTTCCAGAAGGCGTTCCCGGGCGGGTTCAAGCTGTTTGACTAAATCGGTGGAGGGCTCTGGATTCAATGTTACATGGATGATGGGATCAAAGTCGGTTTGGTGAACGGGGTTTGTTTGCTGGAGCTCAGTAACACGAGCTTCTAACCCCTTTTCACAGTACAAGCACGCAATTCAAGTTGTTATAGAATAATTCCTGTCCTTACCAGCTTCGTAACGTATTATGCATGTATGTACTAATACCCTCCAGGTAGGACATTTCCACAATCTGAATCCACTTACGATTGAATGATGCTCTCGTTGAATGAGCATGTCTCTGCCTATTCGCCGTGCATCCAGTAGTCAAGGCCAAGAGTTTGAAGAGGCAAAAGGGTGCCTTGCCAGAATTGATGGTGCTCTGTTGGTCCAGATTCGAGGGCTAAAAAATCCTTCGGTACTTCCAATATGCCTAGGTAAACAAAGAACCCCAATAAATTCCAAGTTCTTGGCAATGGAACACTCCGTGATTGGCACTGGGAAGGGATGTTGATGATAGCCTTGAAGCCTAACAGCACAGCGCCAACAAGGCACGGGTCTCGTTCTAGTAACTTCAGAGAAGATCCCGGGTATCAACGGTACTCGCTTGACCGACCTGCATCCGGATTTATCTTTCCGGCGTCGGAAGATTGGGCCAATGAGTATTGAAGTGCAGGGGATGATGCGTGTGCTGGAGGTTCCTCGGGCATGGCGCGTGTTGACCGAGCGGCGCCGCAAACCTGCATATATAGATGAGCCGCGTGTGCGTCTTGCGGACTGCCGCGCTGCTCTCGCATTGGGGGCCAGTGGCTTGCATATAGGTACATGTACATACATGTCCATGCGCAAGAAGGCGGCGTCAATGGAAATGTTGGTTGTAGCTGGGGCGTAAACAAGCCGTTCTTCACGTAACATCTCCATTGACGCCGCCTTCCTGCACATTGGAAAGGTTGCGTGAAGAGCAGCTCGTTTAGCCCCCAGATGCCGTAATTACCAGCTCATGAATCCATGAATCCGTCCAGATTCTTACAAGTGTGACCAAGGTCCAAGGCCACTTGGTGCCATCCGGTGGCCCGCGTCCATGTGCTGTTCCGCCGTTCTCTCCAGTCACTTTGCAACAGCCGCCTCTTTCTAATTGGGCATCGCCGATACTCCTTCATCATGCTGTCTGCCATCCCCGTGCTGGCCGTACTAGGTTACGCCGCGCAAACAGCTGCGTCAAAAGCATCCTACCGCTATGCGTCCGTTGCCGACAACTACAAGGGGCAGTATGGTGAAGTGATTCAGCGAGACGTGTGCGTTATCGGCGGAGGGGCCAGCGGTGTGCATGCCGCTGTGTCACTGAAGGACAAGGGCAAAACGGTGGTGGTGGTTGAACGCCTCAACCGCCTCGGAGGCAACACCCTCACCTACGTGGACTCGATCACGGGCATCCCCATCGATATTGGCGTCGTCGTCTTCCAGCCGCTCCCCGCCGTCCTGCGCTTCTTCGACAAATTCAAGGTGCCCCTGGCCAACACTTCGACGCTGACCGCCAACGTGCCCGGACAGCCCGCCAACCTCTCGGTCCCAGCACCCCTGTACCAGACGATCCAGACATACACCGACTTGCGGGACGGATCCGGCGTCAACATCACTCGGGATGACCTCTCCATCGGTCCAGCTCTGGCCGGGCTAGCAGCCGTCATGGCCAAATACAGCTACATCCTGGACGGCTTCCAGACGCTCCCGCACCCCGTGCCAGAGGACCTCGTCATGCCCTTCGGGGACTTTATGACGAAGCACAACCTCACGGCCGCCATCCCCATCGTCTTCCAGGTCGGCCAGGGTCTGGGAAGCCTGCTCCAGCTGCCCACGCTGTACGTGATCAAGTACTTCAACCTCGGCGACGTGGCCGCCCTCCGCGAGGGCTACCTCACCCAGGCCCAGGGCAACAACTCACTCCTCTACGTCCGCGCCGCCTCCTACCTGGGGCCCTCCAACATCCTGTTCGAATCCACCGTCATCTCCGCCAACCGGCGCCGCACCCCCTCCAACCGGGCGGAGCTCCTCGTCTCCGCGCGCGACGGCGGCGTGCGCCTGCTCTCCTGCGCGCAAATCCTGCTCACCATCCCGCCCACGCTGTCCAACCTCGCCGGCTGGGACCTGACGCCCGACGAGCACGCCGTCTTCTCCCAGCTCACGGGCGCGACGGGCTACTGGACGGGGCTGGTGCGGGGGGTGGGGCTGAACCAGACGGTGGCGCACCAGAACGCGGCGGCGACGACGCCGTTCCAGCTGCCCGTGCTGCCGGCGCTGTACCAGGTCGCTGCCGTGGGCGTGCTGGAGGACGTGTGGTGGGTCAAGCTGGGCGCCGACACGGCCACGCTGCCGGACGAGCAGGTCAGGGCGCGCGCGGTGCGGGAGATGCAGCGCGTGCAGGCCGCGCAGGGCGTGCCCGTGACGGAGCCGGAGTGGTTGATGTTTGACTCGCACGCGCCGTTTATGCTGCATGCGGGGGCGGAGGTGATTAGGGGGGGGTTTTATAAGAGGTTGGCGGGCTTGCAGGGGGGGTTGGGTGGGAGGATGTTCTATTCGGGGGCGGCGTTTCATACCCATTATAGTGGGTATTTGTGGCGTTATAATGAGGATGTGGTGATTCCGATGATGACGCGGAAAAGCTGAGTACCTACTTACCTACCTTAGGTAGCTGATCGTAACGAGATATTTGGTGTGAACATGAGCCCGGTTAGGTACATGTAGTCCCAACCGCAGCAGGCAATGAACATTTTAGCTCACCTAGACTACCACCTACAAGATGAAAACGGAAGGCTAGCATTGAAGCTGTTATCGGTGGGATCTCGTCTCTTGCCTTCTTCAAGGTCAATGTATTTGTGTAGAAATCCTAAGCTGCTTGTACTGTAGCGTGCTACAAACCTTTGGGCCGTTACAGTACACCGACCTTCCTTCCGTTTATATCATTTGCGTTTAGAGCGTTTTGCACAACATCTACATCCCTAACTACCTATTTAGGTACCTGGCAATCGTGTTGTTTCTGTCACCCAGAGTAAGGATGTGTTGCGGTGCCCCCATAGGTACGTGGAGGTGCTTTAGTGCTGACAACCCACAGCGTTGTAAGCTGCACATTGGAGACATGTTGAGACGGACTACATCACTCTAGATAGGCACCCAACCTTCTGCTGAGACGCGGCACCCATCGCTGCCGCTTTCAGCCTGGGAGCGGGCTTGCCTGGTTGCCATGAACCACCTGGAAGGCCAAGGGGCTGGGGATTCTTCGTCGACTGAATCATGTTCCGAATCATTGTCAGAGAACGGGCCATCGTACATGTCTTAGACTGGTGTGGCGGTTGGATTGACGGCGCTTCCCACTACCCTAGCTGTGAGACCTGAAAGGGAAACTGTCGAAGAGATTCGTACTGCAAGAGCTGGGAGGGGAGTATGAAGAAGGGATAAAGCATTCTTGTTGCATTCCTACCTAGATTCAGCTATCAACTATGGAACCCGACCTCTTCCATGTGGGATCCATTCTGCTTATAGCGCGCCTTCCCGCTCCAGCCAATTCTTCACTGCCTCCCTCACATCCTCGTACGGCACACCAAGCAAACCGTTTGCACTCTCCTCCTCGGGCAGCCCATTCCCTGCACCATCTGCAGAGTTGTGTGCCCTCAGCAAGTCCACAAACGCCGAGTAATCCCCGGCCGCGAGCTTCGTCTCACCGGCCTGTTGCAGATCCGCCGACTTTATCTTTGTGACGGCCAGTTTCGACCCCGTCAACTCCTCCACCACCGCAATCAGCTCGTTCTGCGAGAGGTTGAACGACGCCGTCGAGATGTACTTGTTGGCCGTCTCGTCGGGGTGCTTCAAGATGCCCGCCACGACCCTGCCAATCTGCGCGAGGGTGCTCGCATACCACTTCTCGTCGCCCGAGTCAATGACCGTGGCCGTCTTGTCCTTGATGCTGACCGTTCCCAGCCCGCTGCGCTCGAGGCCCTGGGAACCAGTTAGCCATGACCCGACCAGATGAACAATCACCCCTTCTTCCTCCCCCACAAACTGAAAGGAAATCAACAACCACTTACCCAATCAAAAAACAACCCCGTCGACACCCCCGTCCAACTCAACCCACCCTCCCCTTCCCTGACCACCCCCTCCAAATAATCCACCACCCCAACCTTCCCCGCCAACACCCTCCCAATCACCCGTTCCCTCACCACCCTCGTATTGATGCCAAACTCGGACGGCACGAAGCGCCGCACCCCCGCCGCCAGCGCCGCGTCCACCGCCGTGCGTTGCGCCGCCACGCCCTGCGTTGCCACCGCTGACACGACCGCGTCCTGGCCGGCGAAGGCGGCTGTGAGGGAGGAGAGGGAGGTGTAGTCGGCGGTGAGGGTGCGGGTGTCGGGGGGGAGGTTCGTGGGTGGGGTGGTTGTGGAGTTGGAGCGGGTGATGGCGGTCACGGTGAAGCCGGCGCGTTGGAGCTCGGTGATGAGGGATGGGCCGAGGTTGCCGGTGGCCTGGTTGGGGGGTGGGGGGTGTTAGTGAGGTGGTTGGGTTATTGAGAGGTTTGGGGGGTTGGAGGAGAGGGGAGGAGGACATACCCCGAGAACGGCGACTGTTTTGATGGGGGCCATGATGGTTGTTGGGTTTGTGTGTGCGTGTTTAAGTTATCTGGGCTCTTCGAGGTGGTGGACGTTGGATGGTGAGGCGAAAAGAAGCGGGAGTGTGGTCGGGAGATTCGAGACAGTAGATATAGGTAGACTAAATACAAGTGCCCACCCAGACATGTGATATGTTGCAAGAGTCGCGTGGTATTGCGTGGAACGGTTGAACTTCCCCGAGGGTGGGGTCATTGCGACTTAATACACCATACATGGCTCCACGACAAGGCCCCTTACGGCCGACCAAGCTCGGCAGATGAAACCCGACCGCTCGGGACGTCCATCAAGGGGTTGATTTCGGGACCTATGGAAGATACTTGACGCCCGATACCCAATGAATATGTTTTGTAGCGTGACCTTGATCTCAAGGAATGGAAAGCCCGGGTTCAAGTTAGAACTCATCCTATTGCCAAGAGTGATCGAACTTAAACTGGAGCGAAAGGTAGAATGGGCGGTTGGGTTCAGCTGACGCCTTTGACGAGCGTCACAATCTCGCAATATGAGCTTGACGAGACGTGACGAGGCCTGATTAAGCTACCTAGGTAGGTATGAGCTGTGCTGCTGCCCCTAAAACATATCACACCACTGTCCCGTAGCCAGTGTCACTCAACCATGGGGGCCTCGCACGTCCAAGTCTCACGATAGCACATACACCTACACCCGGAGACGCACAAAAACGGCGTGTGACCGTACCCCTATCCGGAGAGAGATGATAATAAGTATATTTTGATGCCCTCGAAGCGCCCCTTCTTTCCACCGTGCTCCCAAGCTCTTGTTGTCCGTCCCAGAACAAGAACAGATGGTATCTAATGACGCCGAGAGAAAAGCAGAACTCCCTCCAGCGGGATAAAACTGAGGAACGATTCCACAAACGGAAGTAGACTAGAACTGTGCGACAGAAACCGCCAAAGTTCTTGAAGAAACAATCTGTACGCCCCCTCTCGAGTAAAGCACATGCCGACGGCCAGCTCTTTCTTTCGCCATGGTATGCGTAATGGTCGTGACATCCCTGGGGCCCAGCATGCTGTCGTTTACCCAGCAAACTCCTTTGCTTTCCGTGCCAATATCCTGATATTGTTGACCAGCCCGTCCACCACCTCCACATACTGATGCGGCTGGCCCTCCATGGCCCTCCGGCCCTGCTCAATGACGGGAGCCGGGTCAATTTCAACCTCGAGTTCATGGTCCTTTTCCGTGCGCTGGGTATTCTGAAGCTCGTTAGTAACGGATACGCTTCTGGGGTGGCGTCCAAGACTTACGGTAACCCCCGCCACGCTCTGCGTAACCTGGGTCAGATCGATTTGATAACACCCGTGTTTGTAACTTAGCCGGTCCTTCATCCTTGCCGGAATAGGCGGGCGTCCGGTCGAACTCGCCATCTTCTCTAGGTCCTCGACCGTACCGTCCCAGTCCATTTCTAGGTTGACGCTGATGCGGCAATCTAGAGGCAAATCGGGGAAGTGCATGCTCAAATCGGCAATGCGCGCCTTGATAATCTTGTCGAGGACTTTGTTGGTCTTCTGGTCGTACGAGACTCGCACCTTGACGCTGTGACCCTTGGCGGCGATGGGCTTCGCAACACACACCGGTAGGAGGCGGTCGCGGACCGAGGCGGGCAGCTCAAAAAACTTATCGACCTCGCGGCGGTGGCGGTAGTCGATGGGTAGGCGCGGCCGGGGTAGTGCCGCGTTGGCTGCTTTATTTCCGGGGTGCGTTTGCTGCACCAGGAAGTTGAGAAAACCGTTGAAGGACTTGTGTTGAACCTCGGTCATACTCGACCGGAACCCAAGCCAGTTGCCGTTGTCGCTCAGTACACACTCCGATTGAACGGGAAGTTCCACTCGTTGATTAGTGCTCTTGTCGACGAGCATGCCGAGTTTGGCTTTCGATCTCAAACTTGACGCCGCGGCTTTGGATTTCACCAATGTCTTCATTAAGAATAACGTATTGGAATAAAAAGTCAGCCACTTGCTTGGTGAATTGCTCCTGGGGAACCGAGTTGGTGATGCTGGCCTCCCATGGTCCTAGCGGGCCCCATTGAGTGCCGGCGTCCGACGGCGCGCTCGCCGCCGGTGTGGTTGGGGCCGCCGCGCGTTTCTCTTCCGGCGAGGCATGCCGACTTTGCAAGCGTTCAACCTTGACGGGCTGATCCGGTTGACGGTCGGCCTTGCCGTTGACTTGGGGTCCGGAATGCGGAACCGGCTGATAAAGAACCCGGTGAGGTTGAGCGGGCGCCCGATCCTTGCGCGACTCTGCCCATCCCGGTATGGTCCGGTACAACACCCTTCGTTTCATGGCCTTCATCGCCATGATTGGACGTTGCATGGGGGCGCCGGGATCGGAGTGGGTCGGACGTCCGTTTTGTTCTTCAAACGGAGGCGGTCGTGTCTCTCGTTTTTCTAGCTCCTCCGGTTGTAGTTCCCTGTCGTCAAGCTTCCGTTTGGCTGGTGTGGCGGCGCGTTCTGCCATGGTGGGAGCGGTATGGGCTTGGTTCGCGTAGGGTTCAAGATCAGAAACCGAGGTGCCGGGGCGACCGGAGCTGCTTGGCAAACTGGGGACTCGTGTTTTTGGGCTCACGCTAACGCTTCGTTCCCTGTCGCTTTGTTGTTGCTGCGTCCGGGCGGATTCCTGACTCCGAGTGTCCTGGATGCTGTGAACACTCGAATGCCTGGGCAGTGACGGCGGCGGTGGAGGCGGCGGCGACGTTTGTGAAGTTGGATGGATTCCCGGCCCCGGCAAGCGCTGTTGGTATGGGCTTGGCGGCCCGTATGTCCCGCCGACTTGAGCTGGACGAGCGGACAACGGGACCGTTCCCCCAGGTGTCGGTGGTTGTGAGGATTGACGTTGGTAGGGGTCCGCTTGTTGAAGAGGACGCGGTGCTGCCACGGGACTCCCCTGGGCGAAAGGCGCGCCGTAATGTGCCGATTGGCTGTGTGCCGATGTTGGCGTTGGTGTAGACTGCATCGATTGAGCCCGATGCAAAAAAGAATGCCCCGTGCCTGGGGTCGCGATCGGTGGAGTTTGGGGAATGTGAGACCCTTGCATGTACGGGCCGGCGGCCGGCGGGCCTGTCATACCCACGGCAGCCGCGGGCTGGGGATAGCTGTCTCGGTGGTATGAGGCCGTCGGCGGGTACTGGTGTCGCTGCACGGGGCTCGTGGGATTTTGCTGCGGCGGGAAGGGATAGCCACCGGCGCTGCTCAGCGAGGCAGTTGGAGTTTGTCGGTACGGAGAGGCTACCGACCCAGGGCCGAGGCCCGGCGATCGGAGATCGTTCGTTGGGATTTGCTGGAGCTGCGGTGGCGGCGGGCGGTTGGCGTAGGAAGTCGGAGGAGCCTGAAAGGGGGGCGGGGATGCGAATGGGCCAGAGGGCATATGGTGCGCGCCATAGTCGTGGGAGATATGCCGCCCAGGAGACGGTTGAGTTTGGCTGTAGTCGCGAAAAGACTGCTGTGGATTTGCCTGCACCGGAGTCGACGGCGGCGCGGGTTGCTGCGCATGTTGTTGCAGCTGTGGCGGTTTGTTCGGGGCTCCTGCGGAAGGGACATTATCGTTCAGCATGCCCCTGAGATCCATTTTGACGTCGATGTCGGTTACTGATAACTGTTCGTTCGGGTTTGGTTCGATCCTGTCTCCCACGCGACCAAGGGTTCAGCTCTTTGTTTCGTTCGCGCAATCCTCCTCTTGAAGACCATCGAGGGATACGTCCAATCTAGTGACAAGACAACGTAGACAAATCGGTTATCGTGGGGTCGCGCGCGAAGGAATGATGGTGTCTGTCAATGTTCCGAATGATCGCGACAAACGGGCGTCACATCGTCGAGCTGAGCTTTGCGTCGGCAAGAGAATAAATAACTAGCACGAGCGAGTCGAGTCGCCACTGTTCGCTCCCATACCAGGAACAAAATGAGATGAAAGCAGCGAAGGCCTCGAGGCTCGGAATATTGTTTGGCTGGACTACTGCACACGCGACGATATCGTCATGACATGGCGCGTGGGGGAGGAAGTTGTAGAGCTAAAAAGCCTGAAGTGTGCGCCAGAAGATGCGCCAGTGTGGATTTGCTCCTGCCTGGGACGCGAATGTGCTTGGCCGCTGCTCCAAATCACTGCCTAACAATGAGCGGGCATTCCGCATGCGGAAGTGCTCCCTGCTTGCGATTTCGATCTGTCAATTCAATTGGAATCAATGATAAAAGAAATGATACAGCTACGGAAGGTTTGGAACAGCTAAGCCACAGCGTGGAGCATGTCGCGAGCGTTGCCGTTTGGCGCCGCGTGTTACAGAGTTCGAGAGGCACAAGAGTTCGCGGCTCGAGGGGCCAGAGAGCTGGCCTTGTTGGAGGGACATGTGAGCTAGCCGTATTGGGTCAGAATCAGAAGCCCAGCGTGGCTGAAAGAATCAGAGCAAGCCCAGAGCCATTTCCCAGACCCACCACTCAGAAGCTCGGAAAATCCCAAGATCCGGAACACCGTTGATTGACTTGGGGGCGGTGGGCCATCTGGCGCAAGGCAGGAGCTTCCTGACGTGGACCAGCTGAGGCGACGCCGCAGCCCGAGCTTCTCAACAGCTCGAACTTCCCGTCCAACATCCAACCGATCCGCTATCAACTCATCCTCCATCAACCCATCCTCCATCCGCCCAACGGAACCTCGAAACCATCTCCCATTTTGATCCGCGCCTGGTGTTCGGGAACCTCGCGAGCGATTCTTTTTTAAATAAAAAAGCCAAATCCGACATCTCTAACTTACCCCTCCACCGCGACGCCACCATGCCGGGCCTCGTTTCAGCGACCGGAGTGCTGGCTTTCCTGGCTGACGAAGAGCCGGAGCTCAAGGTTTTTGCCCTCAAGACTCTCAACGATGACATTGATACCGTTTGGACCGAGGTCGCAGGCGCATTGAGCCAGATGTAGGCATCACAGCAATCCCCCTTGGTGAAACATCAGCTAACTGTGGCATCTAGTGAGGCGTTGTACGAAGATGAGAGCTTCCCCGAGCGTCGACTCGCCGCGCTTGTGCTCGCCAAGGTCTACTTCCACCTCCAAGACTACAATGAGAGCATGACATTTGCGCTTGCCGCCGGCCCTCTCTTTAAGCTTGATGCGCCGGGCGAGTTCGAAGAGACCATCATCTCCAAGTGTGTTGACCAGTATATCGCTGTGTCATCATCGCGCCACACCCCCGCCAACCAATCGAAGCATGACGTTGCGCTGCCCGCCCTTGCCACCACTTTTGGTAGCGGTTCGCTCGACGGTTCGGCTTTGATCTCGCCCACCACTCCCTTTTCCCAGTCGATGCTACCTTCCAAGTCTCTTCTCTCCCGTGACTCGGTCGACAACACCATCCTGGACCCTTCCTTCCAGCCGACCAAGGAGGGGCGCTCCGCTTCGGTGGCCCAAATAACAGACAGCACCACCTGGACGGCCCTGGAGAACGTCATTGAGCGGCTATTCGAGAGCTGCCTGGCCGAGAGAAAGTATCGGCAAGTGGTCGGTATTGCTGTGGAGGCAAAGAATTTGAGCGTTCTCCGCAGGGTTATCAAGCGGGCTATCAAAGAAGGGGAGCGGGACAAGACGAAGTCGCAAGAGGCCGAGGAGTTGATGGACTATGCGCTTAGCGTTTGCATGGACATCGTCCAGGAACGTGGTCTCCGGACCCAGATTCTGCGTCTGATCCTTGACCTCCTAAACGAGCTCCCGAATCCGGATATGTTCGCCATCGCCAAGTGTGTTGTTTATTTGGACTCGGCTGAGGAAGCCTCCTCATTGCTTCTTGAGCTCATCCTCAACAGCAAAAGCAGCGAGATCCCGGTTGCTTACCAAATTGCCTTTGACCTCTATGACAACGGAACACAGGAGTTTCTGGCAAAGGTGATCAAGGCTCTGCCCACGCCGAAACAGCCGGAAGCGGAGCAGAGAGCCGAGAGCGCCGAGGGTGCCGCTGAGTCCGAGGCTCTCCTTCAAAATGAGGAGAGCGACGTGGCCGAGGATCACGTCGAAATATTCAAGAACGTTCGGTCAATTCTCGATGGAAGCGCTACAATCATGCTCAACTTGGAGTTCCTTTACCGCAACAACCATACCGACTTGAGCATTCTCAACAAGGTACGCGACAGTCTAGAAGCCCGCAATTCCATTTTCCACACCGCCGTCACGTTCTGCAACGCTTTTATGAACGCGGGAACTACGCACGACAAGTTCTTTAGAGACAACCTCGAGTGGTTGGGTAAGGCTGTCAACTGGTCGAAGTTCACCGCGACTGCTGCGCTCGGCGTTATCCACCGTGGAAATACTAGCCAATCCCGGAAGCTACTCGAGCCGTACCTGCCCAAGCAAGGTGGTGTGTCCAGCGGTTCCATCTTTAGCCAGGGTGGTGCCCTCTACGCCTACGGTTTGATTCACGCGAACCACGGCGCCGAGGCGCTGGACTACCTCCGGACCATGTTCAACGCTGCGGACGAGGAAGTTATCCAGCATGGCGGGGCTTTGGGTCTCGGTATTGCCGGTATGGCTTGCGGTAACGAGCAAATCTACGAGGATCTGACTAAGGTGCTCTTCGCGGATTCTGCCCTTAACGGCGAGGCTGTTGGCTTGGCCGTTGGCCTCATCATGTTGGGGACCGGAAATGCCAAGGCTCTCGAGACCATGTTCACCTACGCCCACGAGACGAGTCATGAGAAGATTGTCCGCGGGTGTGCTCTCGGCATGGCGCTCATTATGTATGGGCGGCAAGAAGGGGCAGATAGCATGATCGAGGGTCTCTTGAACGACCCCGACCCGACACTGCGGTATGGCGGTATCCTCACAGTGGCCATGGCCTATTGCGGGACGGGAAGCAACAAGGCTGTCCGGAAGCTCCTGCATACCGCCGTCAGCGATGTCAACGACGACGTGCGCCGGATCGCTGTCATGAGTCTCGGCTTCATCCTCTTCCGGAAGCCTGGCAGTGTTCCTCGCATGGTCGAGTTACTTGCCGAGTCATACAACCCTCACGTACGGTATGGCTCTGCTATGGCCCTCGGCATCGCATGCGCCGGTACCGGGCTGGACGAGGCCATCGATCTGCTTGAGCCGATGATGAAGGACCCGACGGACTTCGTCCGACAGGGCGCGCTCATTGCGCTGTCTATGATCATGGTACAGCAAAACGAGGCCCTGAACCCGAAAGTCACCGCGATTCGAAAGACCCTGAAGAAAGTGGTCGGTGACCGCCACGAGGACGCCATGACCAAATTTGGTGCAGCCCTTGCCCTGGGTATCCTTGATGCTGGCGGTCGGAACTGCACTATCGGCCTCCAGACGCAGACGGGTAACCTGAACATGGCAGGTATTGTTGGGATGGCTGTCTTCACTCAGTATTGGTACTGGTTCCCGTTCACCCACTTCCTTTCCTTGAGCTTTGTGCCCACGTCGATCATCGGCCTCGACCCCGACCTCGAGATGCCCAGCATCAAATTCCACTGCGCCGCACGCCCAAGCCTGTTTGACTATCCCCCTGAGCAGGAAGTCAAGGTGGAGGAGGGACCCTCCTTGGTTACGACTGCCATATTGTCAACCACGGCCCAGGCGAAGCGCCGCGCTCAGAAAAAGGAGCGCGCGCAGCGTCGCGAAAGCATGGACATTGACACCCCCACTGTCACCAAGGCACCTGCACCGGCTGGCGACAAAATGGATGTTGACGATGAGAAGAAGCCCAAAGTGGAGGAGTCGAAGGAGAACGAGGGCGACGTGGTGGTGGAAAAAGAAGGCTCGGCGGGCTCGGACTCGAAGAAGAAGGTTGAGAAGGAGAAGGTCGGGTACGAGATCGAGAACATGTCGCGTGTGCTCCCCGGCCAGCTCAAGTATATCAGCTTCCCGGCCGGGCGCTACAAGCCGGTGAAGAAGGCAGGTCTCATCATCCCATCAGTGTGATCCGATCACCTAGCTAACCATTTCCATAGCCTACCGGCGGCCCAATTCTTCTCCACGATACGCGAGCCGGCGAACCTAAGGAGCTGATCGAGGAGAAGCTGAAGAAGGTCACCACCGAGCGTGCCCCTGTGGCGGGCGCTGCGGCCCCTGGTACCACCCCGCGCAACGCGGCGCAGTCGCTGCTTTCAAATTGGTCCTCGCGGGCGATGACCGGCGCCGGCGCCAGCAACATCCAGGACTTGAACGACCTGCTCCAGCTTACGGCGCGTGGAGCACAAGAACGTGCGGCCGAAGTTGGTAGCGGAGCCGCGGCCGCCGCGGGCGTGCTGACTGCAGTGGATGAGGACAACGAGGGTGACGAGGAGGCACCTGCTCCAGCGGACTTCGAGTACTTTACGGATGCCGAGGAGGATGAGGAATAAGTGTTGTCTTGGGGAGGAGTGCTGTATATTACTAATGTAATATTGCCTTGTGAGACGCAAGGATAGACAGATCTTGACCCTTCGGGGCTATTGACCTCTTCCCGGTGCCTAGCGCTGAATCTTTCCTTTATCTTGCCCGCTGATACTTGAAATGTGTGGAGATGCTAAAAGTGGTTGCTAATAATGTGAGCGCTTTGCAGTCTGAATTGGCTTGGCAGTGGAAGGATGCAGAGGGGTGCGGAACCGACGTCATCGATCCGCCAAATCCGGCGTCAAACACAAAGGTCGAACTTGGGAGCTACGCTCGACTGACCACCATCAAAAACCAATCTTAGATTTCTAGTTTAGTGTTTTGTCATACATAAGCTTTCTCATTCAGCAAAGTTTCCCATCCCAACTCAAACCATATAGTCCCATCTCAAACAGGCACCACACCCCCTCTTCAATCTCAAAAACCCCTCCACCAAATCAACTCAAAACGACCCAAACAAGCAATAAAGAGAACCAGAAAAAAAGAGAAAAAAAAAAAATCCCAACCAATGGCAGACGCCTACCTCATCCGGGTCACCGCCGGACCCAACTACGACCCGGCCTCGCACGTCGAGATCCCGGTCAACGACCCGCGCCCGGTCCGCGTCGTCGCCAACGCCCTGCTCGACGCCGACCTGTGCGTGCGTGTCCACAACTACCGCGGCCTGCCCCGTGCGGCGCCCAAGACGTCGCCGTATTTTGAGCAGGAGCCGCATGGATATAATGGGGATCAGTATTCGATTGCGCTGAGGTTTCGGTTGAAGAGGCCGGGTGGGGGTGGTGAGGGGGTGGATAAGGGGCGTGGGGATGATAAGGTGGGTGAGGGAGAGGGTGAGGATGAACTGGGGGTTGATGAGGAAGGGGAAGCGAAGCCGGATGGGGTGCTGGGAACGGATCTGCAGTTCGGCAACGACTTCGATCACCCCATCCGCGACCGCCTGCCGCCTGGGTTTGGCACGGCGATGAACATCGTCAAGTGGTGGATCGATCCCGGGCTGGAAGGAGACCCATACGCTGACGTGCCCTACCTCTACGGCCCCGCCTTGAGTTCCTTCAATGCGGTCCATGTCGGTGAGGGCGAGGAGGACGAAGCGAAGGGCGGGTTGTGGTTCGAGGAAGGGGGCGACGAGGCGGGGAAGGAGTGGCGAAAAGAGCTCGGCGCGCCGGACGATCCGAAGCAGAGGATGAAGTGGGCTTTAAAGACGGAGAATAAGGAAAAGTGGACGTGGGAGTATGAGAGGGCGTACGGCGTCGATTTCTTCAATCCGTACATCGACTTCAACGAGTTCGCGTTGCGGCTCCCGGGGTTCAACCTGCCGATCATGAAGTACTGGGATGGGCAAGGGTTGAGGTACGTTTCTTTTCGTCTTTTACCATCCCCCCCTCCAAGTTGAGCGTCAAGTCTGCGGGTGTATGGCAAAAAACAAGTCTTACACAATGTAGGCATCACCGCAAACGCTCACACCAGCTCAGATACGTGCTACGAAACCGCTCGACTGGGCAGGTTTATCTCGTTGTGCTGTTCACCCTGCACTTGGCTGAAGACGTGAACGAGGATGGTACGCTGAAGCCTGCCGCGCTGGAGGCTATGAAACGGGGTCAGGGGCAAAAACAACAGCCGTTCCTCGGACCCGAGTCAGACCTGGAGCTTGAACCTGACGAGGAAGACTTTAATGAAGAGGAGGCTTTGAGCGAGGCAAGACGGAAATTGTCAGGGGTGGATTTGGAAGGGGAAAGCGGGACAAAGGCGGATGATGTAGATTGAGAATAGATGCATCTAGAAGGCAAGGAGTAGGCTGCAAGACGACATGAAAAACTCTCCTGTGTGTTACTAATAGATTCTTGAGGGTATTATTCCCGACATATGTGTGTAAACGCTGTAGGTACGCCTGACAATGCTTCTCCAGGGCCAGCCCTTCACGCCCCGAATCACCCCGATCCGAGTTCCTATGACATTAACCGTCAGTACTTCATCCCCTCAACCGATCACAGAGGGCACACTTACACTAGCAAATGGACTCCTCGCCCTGATCCTCTCCCCAAAGAACACCAATACCCACGGCACAATCGTCAACACAGCCGCGATACCCCCCAACAACCCCCCCGCCCCAGCCTCCCCCAAGTTTCGAAACAACGGCCCCGTCACCAGTGGGAACGCGCCACCAAGAACGTTTCGACAAAACGACTGGGCTGCGAGTGCTGACGAGGCGTACTTGTGGTAGGTATCCGCGAAGTAGTTGAAGACGGCCAGGTAAATGGAGAGGATGCCCATCGTTGCTAGCACAACACCAATTGCGGGGCCAATCCAATGCGATCCGGGGCGTGCGGCGAAACCAAAGATGAACAAGCCAATTGGCAAGAACGTGCTGGTCAAGCAGGTGAAGTAGAGGCGGGACTCGGGAGCGGAGGCCGGAAAGCGCCGGCGGAGGAAAGCCCATACGCGGTCGGAGCCGGTCGCAGATCGGTTCTTGCTAGCCGAGTCATCAGAGCTGTCGCCGTTGGCGCCAGGATCGAGAGAAGGATCAGCCGCCCATTTTGGGTGGTAAAGGATGCGATCCTGCCAGAGGCCGATCGCAGTGGCGAAGATGGCGCCGATGATCAGCGACACAAATACGTAGCCCGACTCCGCGAGGGTGAAGTCGTAGACACGCTGGAATACCAGCGGGATGGAGCCGAATGTGAGGTAGAGGATGCCCCACGCAAAAGCCACCCAGAGCGAAAAGAAGAAGACGACAGGCTCCGTAAAGAGGAAGTGGAATGGCCGCGAGATCGAAGTGGCTATCATCTTGCCGAGTGATGCCCGTTCCTCGTCCTCCTTAACCATCCACCGGATCCGTCTCAACGTGGCTGTCGGCTGCGGATGATCCGCCATCGATCCCTTTTCCTCGTCCCTGCCATCCTCCACGACTGAGCCATCACACATACTCCCACCCTCGACCTGCCACACCCCAAAATACCCCTCGGCTTCCAGCTCCTCGTACCACTTATTCAACGCCTTCGCCTTCCTCGACAACAACACCGACCCGCGGCTCTCCTGGAAAAACACCACCACCAACAAAATTGTCACACCACACATAATCACCTGATGCCAAAAGACCCACTTCCACCTCCCGGCATCAGCCAACCTCTCCGCCATAACAGCACCCACCAACGGCCCGGCCCCCGTCCCAGCCAACACGCTCCCGCTAAACACCGCCATGGGCGTATTCCGCCCCTTCGCATCCCACATATCCGCAATAACACCCCCCACCATCGTGCTAAACACCGACGCGCCAACGCCCACCAAAAACCGCGCCACCAACATCCCCGCCAGATCCTCCACCACGCCACACACCGCCTGAAACACCACGTACACCACCCCCGCCACCACAAACACGGGGTAGCGGCCGTTCATCTCGGACAGCGGCGCGAGCACCATCGGTGCCAGCGCGAAGCCCATGCAGAAGGTCGTTATCCCGGCCAGCACGGCTTCGTCGGACGGGTGGCCCGCGAGGGCGTCTTGGATGAGGTTCTGGGGTGGCGAGTAGGAGCCTGCCGTGTAGGCGGTCAGCCAGGTGGCGACGCAGGAGAGGGCGAGCATGACGTATTTGCGCGAGGTGGGCCAGGTTTGGGGGTTGGCGTATCGTGTGAGATCGGGGGGTCGGGGCGGGTTGCTATCATCGTTGTCCTTCTTGTTCCGCTTCTTGTTCTTGTTCTTGTTGTTGTTGTTGTTGTTGTTGTTGTTGTTGTTGTTGTTGTCGTTGCTATGTGGGAGTGGGCTGTTGAAGGAGGAGTGGCGGGTGGTGGTGTTGGGGCTTGGGAGGGGGGTTTCAAAGGTGAGGTAGAGATGGGCAATCTCAGTGTTGGCGTCCAGGCTGGTATATGTTTGCGGTGTTGGTGTGCTGGCTTGTGAGAAAAAGGCTGACGATGGCGCTTGATCGATGCCGTCTTGACCCGCGGCAGGCGCGTGGGTATCGCGTGCGCCAGCCATGGCTACCAGGTAGTCTGCGATCGCGATCACTCTTGTTGGTGCAAAGAAGATGGCGGATCAAACGATTCCGCGTCGAACTGACACGCGGAATATGGCGAGTCGGGTGGTAGGCACTCCCCGGGGAAGGCACACGGACTCAGTGACGTTTTGGTAGCTCCCCCAGCACGACAGGAACCGTGAGCCCGAGGAGGAGCAAAGGATGCAGATGCCGGGAACCCAAGACTGAGGTACGGTCTTCTTTTCGAAACGAAAGTGGTAGCGGACTCCGCATCGGACTTTCCACGCCATGCAACCGCCATGTTAAACCCGGAGATACGGATCCGTACACATCGATCTTTGATGGACCCAGAGACACCAACCGAAGGGAACAACCCAGTGCGGATCTAAGCTGGCCCCTTGCGTGTAATGTAACTTGCCCGCCTCTACATACAATACACCAGACCGGCGTCGTAGTCGATGCAAACTCTGCATCAGTTACGGCCTTGGAGTGGACCGAGCAACCGAGATCAGCACATGGCCCCCGCTGACGAACGAGAGGCGTCGAGACGGCGATGTCAACCGCGTTTTAGTGGTGAAATGTCACATTTCCGCGGCAACGACTGCGTTTCTTTTTCCGGCCCGACCCCGGTACATGCCAATGGGCCACCGAGGGATCCCGTTCCGTTGGGAGATCAGAGATGGCGTGCATCCGTTTTTGACCAAACTTTGCAACTTGTCAAATGAACAGTGGTGATTGGTGAAGTTCAAGAAAGGTGCGCTCCAAGTCGCCTGGCCGGCAGGAGGCCGCTTGCCGTCTGATGCTGGAAAGTGGGTTTTTTATCCCACCCTCATTAAAACCGACTATTACCAGACCCACTGAGGTTCAACGGCCAATGGGTCCGTTCTTGGCTGTGACAAACCCCACAACCGGTCAACCACACTTTGCATATCGCAACCGTTCTTTCCTGGCTTGACACGCGCTTGGGACCATCCTCACCGACCTTCTTTTTTCAACTCTCCACCAACGCATTATAAATCCAGATGCGGCTCCGCCCAATGCTTCCTACAGACATCACCATTACCATTAGCGTGGTCGGGAATAGGGATTTTGATGAGGCTATCTCCGAGCCTCGGTGCCTGCTCCCGCTGGTTTGGCTCAGCGACTGAAGCGGGGATCACGGGAATCGCATCGGGTTCCACACTCGCGGCATCATGTGGCAAAGCCGGCAATGGATTCGGCACCAAAGAAAGGGGGTTTGATATGTTTCTGTCGTCATGATATTTACAGGTTACATTTGTCATTGCTCCCAGCGGCTGTCGTTCACCGAAGCCGCCTCCGAAGAAAGACCCACAAGCCAGCGAACCCTCGAATACCCATTCCCCAAACGATTTTACGACAGAGTCGGGGCGCTGGCGGCCCAGGGTGCCCAGCTGGCGAGGTCGGCGGTGACGTCGCTGCGCTCGACGGCGCCCGGAGCGGTGCCGCTGTTGAGCAGGAAGTAGTTGATGTAGCTGGTGAGCTCGGCGTTCTGGTTGCTCGGGAACTGACAGTGGTTGTGCCCACCAACGAGCGAGAAGCCCATGTTGTTGGGCACGCCGTAGGCCTTGTAGATGGCCCGGCCGGCCTTCATGCAGCCTGTCGTCGACACGGGGCCGAGCCAGTCGATGTTGTTCTCGAAGGCGATCAAGCCGCGCGGCACGATCATGGCCGACAGGAAATGGTGGTCCTGCGGGATCGTGGGGACCGACCGGACGTAAGGGTCGAAGTTCTTGGAGAACCACGGGTTCTCGCCGACGATCTGCTGCGCAGTCTGGATGTTGGCACCGCTCGACTTCTGCTGGTCGCTGATGCGCCAGCACGCCGCGCCACCGGCGCCGGACTCCTGGGGGATCGTGAGCGCGATGCGGTCGACGAAGGCGCCCGTGATGAAAGCACCCTTGCCGTTGCGCGAGCAGCCGGTCACGCCGAGCCGCTTGGTGTCGATGCCCGACGAAGCGCCGACCTGCTCTAGGCCGTCAATGAGCCGGTCCACACCCCACGCCCACGCCGTGAGCGAACCCGCCGAGTGGCCGCTGCCAAAGAGGTCATAGAACTTGCCACGGCCGCGCGACCCGCTGCCCGACTGCGCGCCGAACTCGTCGTTGTTGAACGTGATGGTAGCCACGGTGCTCGGGATCGGGATCGACGCGCCGCCGATGCCGATGATGGCCGGGAAGGGGCCACTACCGGAGGGCTTCCTGATCGATGCGCTGAAGGATATGCTCTTGCTACCCACCGTCACCTTGACGGTGATGCCGGTGCCGCTCATGGACGCCTCGACCTTGTCCGGCGCCGGCGGGTACTCGCCGAGCTCGTACTGCTGCATGATCTTGCTAATCTCGGCCCGGCGGCACTCGAAGTCGGCCTTGGTCGTGATCTTGGTGCCCGCCGCGTTCGTGAACGGGTCGGGGAGCTTGGCCGAGTTGACTGTCGGGTAGCTGTCCTTGACCGAGCATTCCTGGCGCTCGAAGATCTCGCTCGCGGGCGCAGCCACGGCGAACGCCGCGCCGGCCACTAGGAGGGCTGAAGCCAAGTGAACCATTTTGGGTGTGGGAATCTGGGTATGTTGTTGAGCGCGCAGAGATATTGAGGCTGCGGACGAGATGTCTTCTGCCGCTGATGTCGATCTTCCGGCTAGTCTTTATAGGAGCGACGCCGTCTCGAGCGGGGAGGCAACCCGGCCCCTTCCCCTGATGCTCGTGATATTGTCCCACCGCGTGGCCATCTTCCGACCGATATTAACCATGGCTCGACATGATATTGGGTCATCAACAACAGCCAGCGTCCTGGTTTCCTTTGAACCGCCCCGCGGGAGGGACGGGCGCCGTGAGGGTGCCTTGCAGCCTCTGGATATTTGCGGCCAGTGGAACATTCCCCACATGCCTCACCTCCGTACCCAGCCCTCTGGCCAGGAATGGAATTGCTAGCCCCGACCAGGTAGGTTTGTTTGGTTCCCAGTCACGCTAGGCAACGAGAGCTTGTGGTGCCAAACCATGTGGCGGCTCAAAAGGTAGCACCCGAATCACTACCCTTGGCACTTTGGATGATCGGCGCCCTGAGCTCATGTTCAAGCCTGTGCGATTCCAGGGCAAGGCTGGGGGTTGATTCGGGTAATATGGGTATTTGCCCTTTTTCTGCCCACGCGTCGCTGATCCAGCGCGGCCCCTTTTTTCTCGGCCCCTACTTCGGGCTCCGATTGGCACGGCCGACTGGAGATGGCCGAATGCAGCCACGGCTGCCCCGGTCCGGACGGCGGGGCCACGAGCTTAGGAGATGTTCTATCATCCTTCTTTGGCGGTTCTTTCGTTTCTTTTGCATCCTGACTTCTCCATAGGTGGGAAAACTCGTTGTTTTGCGGTATTGCCCTGCAGCCTTAATCGAGACCTTAATCTGATAATATCAAAACAGCATTTGCATTCATGTGGGAATCGTCAACTCCACATTCCGAATAACATTCTCGTGACGCAGTACAGCCCGGCCATGCCACCTACATGTAGATAGCTAGACAATGGCGCCGGTCATCCAACTATATAGTCGAGGACAGAAACAAATCCGCGATCAGAATAACGCTCCCTGTTGTCATACTTCGCCATCGCCCGCGGAGAACGCCAGCGGAGGTTCACGATTGACACATCGTTGCCAAGCACATTAAAAGTCCGACGTGACATCAAAACTACGGCAAAATTGCGTCAACCATGGTTAGAGAGGTTGACTGCCAGACTAACAGTCCGGGGCACATGATATGCCGGCAGCTTGCATATGTCCCGGACAGGGTCCTATGCGGAGGAGACACCCATTCCCAGCCTCTGTCGGTATGTACCCCGTGCTTGGCGCTTAGCAGGCAAGATTCCGTTGGCATTGCCTGATTCAGTCCTATTTTTCCCTTTGCTTTGATCGTCTAGCAGCGGTACGAGGGCGCAAGGTCACTCCCTGCCCGCCTCGTTTCAAGAACCCAGGTCTCCCGGCTGCGTTCGCGGCGGACCCGGGACCGGGGCAGTGGTTGGAAATATAACCGCCAATATCAACACACCTGGATCATCGTCCGCCGGTGTCTATCTAGATTGAGATGCGGGGAATGTACGGATAGCCATAGGGTCAACGCACCTTTGATATGCGTGCGTCAGGGTCTCACAGCCTTGACTAGGTGGAAAAACTAGACCAGTTTTCGCCGCCACTATTATACTACTATGTCTCCTGCCATACGACGTCCGGCCAAGCCTTGCAACGTACAGCTGCATCGTTCGCCTAAGTATACTATCCCTCGCCCAGACTCTCACCTGCAGAGAACCGCCGCCGAGAAGTTCCCTTCAACAGCAAATATGGTTCTCCAGCTCTTGGCAAGCTTGGCCCTTCTCTCGGGGCCAGCTCTAGCCCACGGCGGCCTAGCTAACTACACCGTAGGCGATACATGGTACAGAGGGTGCGTACGATCCCGACGTTGTAGTAAACATGGCGAAATGGCATCACCAACGGCCAAGCCCACATGGGCAAGCCGAAGAAGCCAAGCCTCTCTCCTCCCACCGCAATGCCACCATTCGTCCTGATACCACACCACGAGCAAACAAGCTAGGAAACAAGCGAGACCACCCAGACTAACAAACTCGCCCCCGCCCCCCAACAGCTACGACCCCTCGACCCCCGCCGCCGACCAGCTCGGCCAGCCATGGATGATCCAGCGGCAGTGGGCGTCCATCGACCCCATCTTCAGCGTGACCGACCCCCACCTCGCCTGCAACAATCCGGGCGTGGCCCCGCCCGCGTACATCCCGCTGCGCGCCGGCGACAACATCACCGCCGTCTACTGGTACTGGCTGCACCCCGTCGGGCCCATGACCGTGTGGCTCGCGCGCTGTGCGGATGACGACTCCGGGGAGGATGTGGATTGTGGGGAGGTGGATGTGCCCAAGGTGGGGTGGTTCAAGATTTGGGAGGCCCGGGTTGTTGGAGGGCCGAATCTCGGCCGAGGGGCTGTGGTATCAGAAGGACTTTTCAGCGCTGGGATGGGCAGTCCCGGGGTTGTGGCCGGGGCGATACCCGCTCGCTTGAAGAGTGGGTTGTACATGATCTGGCATGAGATTTTGTCGATCCATGTCGAGTTGAAGCCGCAGTTTTATTCCAGAATGTGCGCATCTCAATATTACGGGGGGCGGGAAGTTGATGGTGCC